TGCTAACCCAACTTTTTCTGCAATGCATACATTCCTAACACAACATTCTCGTCTATGTTATGTTGACTTTATTCTCCTTGTTTTTTCATTGCTCAACATTCATTTCCATTCGACATTGTAGGTTTTATAGTTGTATGGTAAATTTTTCCTTTGAGCTTTGCTTGGTACCTTTTTGTCACATAGCTCCCGAAGCACTCCTATATTTTACCTTTCCCTCTTTTTCTATGTTGTTTTGTTCGATGAATCATAGATATTTAAGCCATGTGACATTGTGGTAAAGTATGTTCTCCAAGTTAGTATGGCTCTTCTCTTTCTCCCCCTTTAGACATAATTGTAGTGTGAGAAGCTCATTATGACTTGTTTCGGAAGTTAATAGGTGTTGAATTTGGGCTTTAAGCTTAGCTTAACTCCAAAAGCTAGCTTGTAAGGTGATAATTGTTTTAACTTTTTTAAGCTCTTATTTAGTCATACCTATAATCGATGTAAGACTTGAATACACCCTTTCACATTTAAGATCGGACATCTAGAGCATGAAAATTGTTGGACTATTTATTTATTTTTATAGCACTAGACAAGCCACGGGATCAGGTAAGTATCATTGAGAAATCCACAGGACCAGGTTAATTACATAGGAAAAGTTTGTCGGGCCAGATTTTATTTTTCAACCAAGGGTGGCCCCATATCATATCTATGATAGGCTTTGATACAATATTAAGAATTTTGGGTCTAAGTCACTCTCAAAAAGCTAGCTCATACGGTGAGAATTACTTTAATATGTATAAACTCTTATTTACCCATATTTATAATTGATGTGGGACTTCGGGCCTAAGTCACTCTCAAAAAGCTAGCTTGTAAGGTGAGGATTACTTTAATCTGTATAAACTCTTATTTACCCATATTTATAATTGATGTGGGACTTCAACAATAAGTAAATAGAAGAGGAAATTTCAATTTTTATTGGATTTTTTAAAACCCTTAATAAGAACTACCATATGGACATGTTTCTCTTCTCATTAAGTTAACTAAAAGAAACCCTCCATTATTAGAGCCTGTCGGAGGAGAAATAAAGAAAAAGAGCGTGGATTATTGATCCATTTGAGCAAAAGAGGTGCGGAGACAGGGAATATGCATTGGGTTTTTTTAACTACCTGCACATAGCATGGGAGAGAAAGTGAGTGTGAATTTCTGTTAGAGAAGAAAGGAGATAGATGTAAGGAGAAGTGGGGGGAGAGAGGTAGGCAAGAATTCATTGATTGGGAGGAAGGTAACCCTTTGAAGAGCCGGCCTAATTACCATTATTTTCCATTTTTCGTATTTCATTTTTTGTAATTTCTGTGTTCATTCCCAGTTTTTTCAACTATATTTGGGCAGGTTTCTATCAACATCACTCTGTAGCATTGCTGTAGACTGCTAGCTGTCATGATGAAATGTCTTTTGAGTTAAAAAAATATTATTCTACCACTACATTTGCTTTGGTCTATCTTCCAAGAGGGTATCACTGACTGAAATCTGATATGCATATTTTTGTTATATACTTTTAAGAGAAAATCATATAAAAATAATTTTTAATTTTTAAATATATACCGTTCTAACATATTGCAATACGACTAACTATTCTATATGGTAATTAATGTTGAACATTAAAAGAACAACATTAGTAAAAAAGTGAGAATGACATAAATGATAATGTTAAAGTAAATGAGTGGTCACATAAAAAATAATTTTATACTTGAAAATGTTTGAGTAACACTCATAGTGGAAAAGATGATTAAAAATGGCTTAAGATGATTTTGGTCACGTGTAGAAAGGACTTTTGAAGACACTATTGAGGAGAGTATATGATATGACTTTTAATGTAGTAAAATAAAGTAGAGAGAGACCCAAAAGAATCTTATAGGAAGTTATTAAAAGAAATCTTTTGATTAATAGTGAAAATTTGATTTTTAATCTAGCTCAATAGTGTTGTGTGATCTATTTAGCCAGCCATACATAGGGAGATAAGATTTGTCTGTTATTGTAAATATATACCGTTCTATTTGTTTCCTATGGAATTATTTATTTTCTTTCCTTTTTGAATGATTTTATTACAAAGGTTAGTAATAATAACAGTGGATAAACTACAATTGTCAAATAGATATGCACATGTGGTGTCCACATTGATTTAGGAAAGGTAAAAATATAGAATTAAATTTAGTTCAGAAAAATGAAATTTAGATACATAATTTTGTCTGTTGAATGCCATCTAACATTATTTTCTTCACGTTCACCTTCACATATTTTAGGATGCAGGATGGTGTAGGGATTGTGATAAGGGTTATTTCTCTGACTTCTTTACTTTCCATTTTCTTTTTCATTTTGAAGAGATGGTCAAATGTGTCCAAGGGAGATATTGTTACATGGTTTTGTCACTTATGCATCTTTTGCCATTTTAGAAAGGGTTCACTTTGTTGACCAGTGTATTCTTTTGAGATTTTTCAGGTTCTTTTTGACTTATTCCGTCATGATGTTCGGTTGTGGAAAGCATACAGCACCACATTGCAGGTATATCTATTTTAGTTTTCTTGATGTAGGTTATTATCATGGCACCATGAATTAAATGAACAAACTATAATATTCTTTTCTGTTTTCTTTGCATTACAGTCACACCCAGCATTTACTGAATACCAAGATTTGCTGGAAGACCTGGAAGAGAAACTCTCATCAGTTGCAAATGTGGAACGAAAATGAAAGTAAATAATGATTTCACATCTGAAGTTTCGCACACTTGTTTCTTGCTGAAGAAATTTGCTTGGATGGTTTTTGCCTTGTCAGCATTTCAGTCTGATTAACCATGTCACACGTAAGGACTATGCATCATTTTCCTTGGATTTGATTGTGGAGATCAGGAAACAACATTTACTTGCTGGTTTACCATCATCTTGGTAACAAGTCATTTTATGGTGCTAATCCAACGAATCCGGAGTAGTATGTGTAGATAGATTAGAAATATCTGTAGGTAGGCTTGTGCATGTCTGAGGATTTTATCATTCTTTTCACTTTTACTCCATATTTTGTAATGTGTTTTTGTAAAAGCATCAATGGATCCATCTGTATATATTAGTCATATGCTGTTGATCAGCCTAACATTATAGTGGAATCTATGTACTTGGTTTTTTCCCCCCTGAATTTAGCATATCATAGAGTTGTTACTGTTTCGTGTTTACTATTTGTTTATACATAGCTATTTTATGTTTTATGGAGCTAAAGTTAAGATGCGCTCTTATACTCTGACTTGTCTCTCTTTTTAGTATATTACATTATTTCGTGTAAACATTGGCTTATTGTTGGGTGTTATTGACGGACAATGAGCATAGCCAATGAGGGCGTAAGTTGGCCAACTGAAACGCATAGCTTATAAGGCTAATGAGAAATAATCATTGCAACAATTCTTGTCTATGAACTGCAGAAAAGCTATGTTAAAGGTCCATAAAATCATTCTCCCCACAATGACGGATTTTGTTTATTCTTTTTTTTTTTTTTTATTTCTTTAAATGTAATCAGCTTTAAAATTTATTCAATTTTGTAATATTTTTAATGAACATATATAATCCATTTATAAATATTTGAAATCTGAAGCATAAGTGGTAACATGGACATCTTACCTGTTATATTAGCCTTACTTTTGGCACTTGGTTCCCTACCGTAATCAAATTAAATTAATACTAAAGCTACAAAATGTTAAAATTAACTCACAGAGGAATATGAATAATCATGTTTGTACACACACCAACACTGGGGTAAATGCATAGTATTGCGTTGTAAATGCATAGTAAATGCACCCTTGAAGCTACCAGACCAGCTTCCTCTAGTTTTCCAGCAAAGATAATCTAGTTTTTTAAGTTTCAAACTTAGCTTTGCTTTTCTTTTACAGTACTTTCTGTGCAAAAGTACAAAAATATTTTTAGCTTAAATAAGTAAATAGTCTCAATGAATATACTTTTTTTTATAATTAGTTCTTATAAAAAAAATTTTGTTAGAGTTAGTTTGCAATTTTTTATAATAGTCTTTATCATTAATAAAGAACTGTCAAGTGGTAAATAAGCAAATAATGTTTTATGTTATATATGTCATGTAAAGTGCTAGCTTCAAATGTGACAAAGTTTAAATAAATAATTACTTTCTAAAAAGTATACTTTTATAAAATTAGTTTTTATTTTATTTTTATTTTGGTTTTAATTCTATAAAAAATATTGTTTTTAAAAAATTGTCTAGATTTTTGTTTTTGTTTTAGTCTTGTAAACTTTTAAATAAAATAATTTTTTATTATTACATTTAACATGCAACGTTTTAATATTTTTTTTATTTTTGTTGTTATGAAAAAGTCAATATTCTTATTATTCATGATATAACTTAATATGATTAGAATAAGTTTTTTTATTTCACGTGTAACAAAGAATCTTTACATTATCTAAAGATAAAAATATGAATTAAAAATAACAAATTAAAATAAATTTTCTTATATCACATAATACAACTACTTCTAATCATCGTATAAATTTTTACAAGAATATAATCTTTTAGCTTCATGTAATATTTTGTCAAATATTCTAAATAAAATGATGAATTACAATTTTATGAGAAGCATTAATTTTAAAAAAGATATATTTTTTAAAATTAAATATTTATTTAAAATTTATTATATGAGCATTATTTCACATTATAGATGTGATACAAAATACTATTTTTTTAGTCATTATTTGATGACTTTTCGGTTAACAATAAAAGTTATTTTAAAAAAACTACAACTATCTTTAAAAAAAATTAAAAAAATTATTTGTTCTTACTATTTAGTTATTTGAGCTAATAATTTTTTAAAAAAAATTGTTATAACATGAAAAATGGGAAGAGAATAAAGGAGTATTAAGACAGGTGATAGGAGAGAATAAAGTTTATTGTGAGAATATTATTTAATCCAAAGCTAACTAAGCTTTTCACTCGTGCTTGCTATTTTAATTTCTTTGGGGTGCCGACCGAACGAAGTCAAAACACACCTAAGTCAGTAGGAAACCTCTGCTCACTTCTCTCTGTGTATCTCTCTTTCCACCAGTGTCTCATCGTCCACACCAGAATGCTGTGAAACGAGATTTGTGGTTTACTATTACTACCCCATATACAGCATCTCCAAACAAAACCAGAATCTTACCAGTAAAATTCTTATAATCAATCAAGTACTGCTACTAAAATTAATTAAGCTGCACACATGCAAATACAAGCTGAAGGTGAAGCCTCTTCTTCTGCATCTTCCTATAGTTCAGGGTCAGGGTCAGGGTCATGGACCTACCTATACCACGTTTTCTTGAGTTTTAGGGGAGAAGACACTCGTAAAGGATTCGCCGACCATCTCCGTGTTTCACTGCAAAGAAAAGGAATCACGTTTTTCAGGGATGACAAAGACCTTGAGAGAGGTGAAGTCATTTCACAAGAACTTTTAAAAGCGATTGAAGAGTCTATGTTTGCAATCATCATACTCTCACCAAACTACGCTTCTTCTACTTGGTGTTTAGATGAACTCCAAATGATTGTTGAGTGTAAGAATAAACAAGGCCTACAAGTCTTTCCAATCTTCTATGGTGTGGATCCCTCTAATGTGAGGCATAAAAAATATAGCTTTGAGGAAGCTTTCAAAATACATGAACTGAAATTCGGAAAAGGCAGTTACAAGGTTGAAAATTGGAGAAATGCATTAAGACAAGTTGCTGGTTATTCTGGCTGGGACTCCAACAATCAGTAAGCTCTCTCACTAATTTCTTTTTATTTAACACAAAGGATTAGTTAATTTAGGTTTTTAAAATGTAATTTGTTATCCCTTTTCTTTATGTATATAGAATAGAATATGAAACACTTTGATTATATGAATTTGCAAACATAAAATCAGACCTTATTAATTTGCAGCCAAGGCTTTATTTTTCTGTGGTTCTTGATGGGCTTAATACGAGTTTTCTTTCCTTTTGTCTATATAGGCCTGAAGCAATGCTCGTCGATGACGTTGCTCAACACATTCTTAAAAAGTTGATACCAAAACTGCCATCTTGCAATGAAAACCTTGTTGGGATTGATTCAAGGGTGGAGGAAGTGAACAGGCTCATTGGAATATGGTTGAATGATGTTCGCCTCATAGGCATATGGGGCATGGGTGGCATAGGTAAGACAACTATCGCAAGAGCAGTGTATGAAGCAATAAAAGAGAATTTCGAAATTAGTTGCTTTGTTCCCAACGTTAGAGAGGTATATGAGAAAAATGGTTTGGTTCAATTACAAAAGGATCTTCTTTCTCGTCTAAATATAAACAGTTGTGATATTCACGATTTGTATGATGGGAAAAAGACAATAAGAAACTCTTTATGCAATAGAAAGGTTCTTCTTGTTCTTGATGATGTAAGCCATCGGAGCCAATTGGAAAATTTGGCTGCAAAGAAAGATTGGTTTGGTGCAGGAAGCAGAGTAATAATCACAACAAGAGATATGCATCTGTTATTGATACATGGTGTGTACGGAACTTATGAGGTTGAAGGGTTAGTCCAAACTGATTCCCTTCATCTCTTTTCTCTCAAAGCCTTCAAACAAACTCAACCTGACCAATGTTATATGGATTTGTCCAAAGAAGTGGTCAAATATGCAAAGGGTCTTCCATTGGCACTGGAGGTGTTGGGTTCCTATCTTTATAGAAGATCCGTTGATGTTTGGCATAGTGCTTTGGAACAAATAAAAAGTCAGTCACATCCTGAAATTCTAGATACACTGAAAATAAGTTATGAGGGCTTAAATGCAATGGAGAAGAATTTATTTCTAGATATAGCATGTTTCTTCAAAGGAATGAAAAGAAATAAAGTAATAAAGATATTACAAAATAGTGGCCATTATCCCATTATAGGAATTGAAGTTTTGATTGAAAGATCCTTGGTAACTATAGAATGGTGGAGTGATAATTTGGAGATGCATGATTTGATTCAAGAAATGGGCAGGAATATTGTATTCCAAGAATCTCCAAATGATCCTGGAAAGCGCAGTAGATTGTGGTCTCGTGACGAAATTGATACTGTGTTTACAGAAAGTAAGGTAGGTGCCAAATATTTTACAGTTGTTGGATTTAGGTGTCGTACAAATAAAAAAACGTGGCATTATTATGGTAAGACAAAAACTAAATAATGTTATTGTCTTTTTGGTTTTGTAAGGGAACTGAGGTAATTCAAGGAATTGTTTTAAACTTGCTTCAACCACACGTAGCAAGCTGGAGCACTGAAGCCTTCTCCAACACAAAGCAGCTAAAATATCTCGTTTTAGATGACCTGAAACTTCAATTTGGTTTGAACTTCCTTCCTAGTTCACTAAAAGTTCTTCATTGGAGAGGATGCTCTTTGAAAACTTTGCCACTCATGGATCGGTCATATGAATTATCTGACATTAAATTGTCTCATAGCGAAATTGAACAAGTATGGCATGGAGAAAAGGTATGATCCTTTTATCAGAAGCTCCTATTATTTTTATTAGAATAACGTTGAAACCTGTTAACCTTTTCTCATTTACTAATTTGACCAGTTTCTGGAAATGCTGAAGCACTTGGATTTGAGTTTTTCCAAGAACCTAAAGCGATTGCCTGATTTTTCTGGGGTTCCAAATATTGAAACATTGGATCTTGGATTTTGCAGTAGCCTAGCCGAAGTCCATCCATCCCTTGTACACCACAAGAAACTTGTTACATTGTATTTGGATTATTGCACAAGTCTTAAAGCTCTTCCAAGTAAACTGGAGATGAGTTCCCTGAAGGAGCTACATCTCGATGGTTGCTCTGAATTCAAAATTCTTCCAGGATTTGGGGAAAGTATGAAACATTTGTTAGTGCTTTCTTTGAAGGGAACAGCTATAAGAAAACTTTCCACAACACTCGGATGTTTAGTTGGCCTTGAGGTTTTGAACTTAAAGAATTGCAAGCTTTTTGTTTCCCTTCCAGACAGCATGCAAAGATTGTGCTCCTTGAAGAAGTTGGTTCTTTCTGGTTGCTCTAAATTTAGAAATCTCCCTGAGTTTGGGGAAGGTATGAAATATCTATCGAAGCTTTATTTGGATGGAACTGGTATAAGAGAACTTCCCACATCACTTGGGTGCCTAGTTGGCCTTGTTCGTTTGGATTTATCGTATTGCAAAAAACTTGTTGGCCTACCAGATGCCATTGGTAGATTGAAGTCCCTTAAATACCTATATATCTATGAAGCCTGGAAGCTTGGTAAATTATCATTTTCTGGGAATGAGAGGCTGGGGTTTAAGAGTCAACCAACTCACATTAGACTTGGGTTTCCACCTTCTCTCTTGAATCTGCCCTCTCTGATCTCTCTACATTTATCTTATTGCAATTTGTCTGAGAAATCAATTCCACATGATATTTCTAACTTAACATCATTGAAGAAGTTGTGGATGAAGGGTAACAAGTTTGTGACTCTGCCAATAAACATTTCTAAACTTTCAAAGCTGGAACTTCTTTCATTGACTCATTGCACAATGCTTCGATGCTTGCCAGAGCTTCCCTCAAGTATAAGGGGATTGTTTGCAAGCGATTGTTATTCACTGGAAACATCCAACTTCAATTTATGCAGTCTCTTTGCATCATGTGGGCAATGTCCTCCTAAGGTATGCGTAGGGCGTCAAGTAATACACTAAACCATTCAAAATATGATACAAGACGTAATCTTTGACTTGGTATGAAATCTGGGCAATGGTTGCTTAAGAATTTTCTTTGGGTAACGTGTGTTACTGTGACATAATCTGCCTTTCTAGTTACTTACTCAAATATGTGTTGCAGGTAGCAGATTCATTTGACATGGTGATCACAAGGAGTGAAATTCCATCATGGTTTATCCATCAAGAAGATGGTGAATATGTTTCAGTCCCTCGTAATTGCCCGCTGAATGATAGGGTGGGAATTGCTTTGTGTTTCCTATTAATAAGTTATGCAGATCCATATGAGGGATTCAATTATGTAGTCAAATGCTGTTTAGGTAGCCCTTTGGGTAAATGCATCAGGGAAACACGTTTATCTCGGATGGAGTCGGGTTATGCTCACCTTTATATTCTCTTTCTAGCTGATCCTCAATCCTGGGGCCAAATTTGCCTAGGTAGTCGCTTTGGACTGTTTCAAAAAGCAAAAGATTTTACCGATGATGACAAATGTGGTCATCCAGATCTATTGGATTTGAAAGTAGTGAGCTGTGGTTCCCGTTGGTTATATAAAAAAGATATTCAAGTTTTGAACAATACCATTACCACCAAGCAATTGCAACCCAACTCAGAGATATTGGAGCTCACCACATAGTACCATCAACCTTTCCAGAGATATGTTACTTGAGCTTAGTGATACTGTTTATATGAGACCAATTCAATCTATACACTAATAAATTCTGTCTGTATGTCAATATCTTTTGTTGTGTATTTGCTTGAAATTGAAATGAACGCCTTTGTGTTATGTGTTTTTTAATGTGCTTTACAACGCATATCTTTATTAACATTAGAAACCAAAATGACTTCTTAGTGATGACTTTGGTCGCAGAAGCGGAACATTGATCAAGTTTAACTTCAATAAAATCACTAGCTATTACTAAATCTAAGGGACTAAAAATGCATATTTTCATCTAAATGTTATGAGCAAATGCCTGCAACCTCCTCTCACACTTGATCCTGATACCCAAATAGCAGTCCTTTAAAAAGAATTTATTATAAATAATTACTTATTACCTCTGTTCTTATTTATCTGCTGAAAGAAAGAAAAAAAAATTTGTTACTGTTTATCTGTTTATGTAGATGTTCAAGACAGTATTTACCTCTGTTCCTACAACCATTGTAAAAGCCTCATACCGAGTGAATAAAATCAAAGAGTTAGTATTTGAGAGGAAGCAAAAGCGAAGGCTCCGAATTGCTCAGGTTGCGTTTTTGCTTGTAAGATTCAAACTTTGGATAATCGGTTAATTCAGGTTCATTATTATACCTTCAACACTGACATTGAGATAATCTAAATCTTATGCTTCTGGGACCACTAAAATTCTTCATATCATTATTCATTTTAAAAATTTAATAACACGAAACATAACAAAGTTATCTGAGTTTTCCTTCTAGAATCGGCATATTTCTTACGCTCAGTTTTTCCATGTCAACACAACACACAGCTTTTCCATTTTCCATTTTCCATTTCCATGTACTGTTGTGACCTTTCCAACAGGTCATGTAGTCTGGGTAATATGTAAGAAAATGGAGTGACCAATTTCAACACGGATGAAGATCAATGGATTTATTTATTTTAAAAATGTCTTAAATGCTTATTTAATTATTTTATTTTATAATAAAATATATTAAATTTAACTATTAAATTATGCAATAATATTTTAGTGACCATAAAAATTATACTTTAAATAAATTAAATGTTAAAAAAAATTCAATTTTATAGTTGATATTTATTATTATTTTTTATAAAATCTACATTTTATGTTAAAATAAAAATTATAATAAAACATTTAATATTATATATATTTAATATGATATTTTAATTTGACAATTAGATTAATAAAATATTGATATTTAATATTGTAAAAATTATTAAGTAGTAACCAGATTCTTCTCTCTATATCTAGAGGGTTAGTAACTCATTTTTTAATATATATTTTTAATACATTCTATATTATTGATTAAAATTTGTTAAAAATATTAAAATTATGAGTGAAACTAATTATTTAAGAGTAATATTAGCATAATTTTATAATTCTTAATTAAATTTACAATTTTACAAACATATTTCCAAGAACACAATAAGCACCTATGTACAGTAAGTTTTTATTAAAAAAATAAGATATTACAAAATTCAATGTATTTCTAACATTAAATGTTGCAAATTTTATTATAAACTTACCATTTCCTGATTTCTTAATATGTGTCCTTAAGCACATGCTAGAAGAATAGATAAATTTAATTAAATCAATTATATAAAGTGCTGGTAAGAATATGTTGGTAATATTTCTTTATTTTAATTATCTATTTTGTTAATTTCAATCGTAAATATTAAGTTTAAGAATTTAAAAAAAAATATTTAAAAAAGAAATATTCATGACATTGAAAATATAAAAGCGTAATAAATATTTTTTTTTCATTAAGTTTATATACAGGGAGAATGCTAATATATCAGTTAAGAAATAAAAAATAAAAATTTTTATTTAAAAATATTGTTCATGTACCACTTTCATGATTTTAATGCAGGTCAACTCATATTTGAATAGAAGTTGTCTATTTCTTAATTAATGTGATGACGCCAACCGTAAACAAGACTCAATTATATATATATCCGCCAAAAGAAGCAACAGTTAACAAGGGAGACATCACATTCAGAAGATGGCATCCATGGTAAGTGAAGACTCTTCATATTCCTCTCCTTCAATAGCTACTTTGACTCCACGAACATGGAACTACGACGTGTTTATGAGCTTTAGGGGAGAAGATACTCGTAGAGGTTTCGCTGATCATCTCTATGCTTCGCTTGAAAGAAAAGGAATCAAAACATTCAAGGATGAGAAAGATCTTGAGAGAGGAGGAGTGATTTCACGTGAACTTTTGAAAGCAATTGAAGAGTCTATGTTTGCTATTATTATCCTTTCACCAAACTATGCTTTCTCCACTTGGTGTTTGGATGAGCTACAAAAGATTGTTGAGTGCTCTGATAACTTGGGTCTAGTAGTTGTGCCAATCTTCTACGGTGTAGACCCTTCAGATGTGAGGCACCAAAGAGGAAGCTTTGCAAAAGCTTTTAGAAAACACGAAGAAAATTTTCAACAAGACATCGCCAAAGTTGAAAAATGGAAGATTTCCTTAAGACGAGTCACAGGTTATTCTGGTTGGGACTCTAAGGATTGGTAAGTTCTTTTACCATTTATGTTTTTCTTTCTTAAACGTGTGTTTAATAGATGTAAACATATATAATTAAGTTGATTTTAATCCTATTTTTTAAGTACTTTTAGTATTCTTAAATTTTAAAAATTTTGAAACCGCCCGTCTTATTATGTTATGATGATGGTCACATTTAATTATATACCTTAGTTATTATTCTGAAGTTGCAAGTAGTTTAAAAACATATGGTATTATAGGATGATAGTAATATATGTTTTGATATATTATTTTTAATATAATCTTAATTATTACTTGAATTTTATCATATTAGAGATATCATGTAAATGTCATGTTAAGTAAAATCTCAATCTTAGTATAAATTAAATCAATAATTAAAAAATAGAAAAAGATAAACCGGAGAGGCTTGGAGAGGGTTCGGATCCTATTCCCACACAAACATTAACCATTAACTATGAGCAACGTCTTTTCCAAGCTTCGCACACAGTAGGGAAAACAATAATCCACGAAAGACCATGATCTTGTGCATAATAAACTAAGCTTTTAGTTAACTTCCTTTTTGTTTTTCTCTCGATTGTTGGGTAGAAACATTTCTTGGCACATGGAAGCAAGATTGTATGCGAAATGGGTTGGTACATGTTTATTTTTGTTTTTTTCCGATTAAAACCTGATAATATTATAGACAAGACCAAGACCGGAACAATTCAATTTATTGACATAAAATGCTAGTATTAACATACTGTATTAAATGATAGAAATAATAATGTATAAAATAAAATTACAGTATATTTTGTATTACATATTTTAAGATGAATAATATCATGGTATGCAACGTGATCTATTTAGTCTTGAAATGTTATTATTAATACATAGTTGTTTAAAAATATTGAATTTAAAAGAATAGAGAACATCGGATTAAGTTGAAACAACTCAAATATAACGCAATTCATCTTCAAAACATGCCGAATTAATTTTTAAAACTCAAATCCATCAAAGTTGACTTTCAATCGAACCTTGTTTGTGGGCCGAGTCCCTACTTAGTAGAAATACTTTACCAAATTTTTGGTTGTCAGTTTTAAATTTTGCTGTGATTATGTGCACATCCCTACTTATTCACAGGAAAGTTTCCTGTGGATTATGAAATTCACAGAAAGAATTATCAATGAAGTTGTTTACTGTGAACTAAATTTTGCAAGAAAATATGCAGGAAACGTATTTTCCTGCAGATATTTTATAATTTTTTGCAAGAACTTCTGCAGGAAAAAAAAAATATAATTCTAGTAGTGTTATGAGACTCACATAAATTTAACTAACAAAATATATGTTAAAATGAATTGGACTAGCAAAATATAAAATGAGAAATACGTACTGTATTTGAGGCTGACGTTATTTATTCAATAAATGATATAATATGTTTAAAATTTTCAGCTTGAGAAGGTAAATGCATTAAAATGTATTTTGAAAAATTATTATTTATAAAAAATAGTGTAAAATTAGGATAATAAAATTTGTGTAAAATGTAAATACAATAAATTAATACCCTTGGTTGAAGCGTTATTTGCCTACAGTTCTTGTTGGACTCCAAGCAATATTTTTCTTGTTCTCTACAGGTATGAGGCAGCACTTGTTGAAAGCATTACTCAAGACATACATAAAAAGCTTATTCCAAAATTGCCATCTTGTAGTACTAACCTTGTTGGAATTGCTTTAAGGGTGGAGCAAGTGAAGAGGCTCATAGGTATGGGGTTGAATGATGTCCGCTTTATTGGCATATGGGGCACAAGTGGCATAGGTAAGACAACAATTGCTAGAGTAGTCTATGAAGCAATCCAAGGTGATTTTGAAGTTACTTGCTTCCTTGCCAATGTTAGAGAGCTATGTGAGGCAAATGGTTTGGTTCACATTCAAAATGAACTTGCTTCTCATCTAAATTTAAGTACTAGTGACTTTTGTAACGTGTATGATGGGAAGAAGGCACTAAGAGACTCCTTATGCAACAAAGAGGCTCTTCTTGTTCTTGATGATGTAAGTGATGTAAGTCAATTAGAGTGTTTGGCTGGAAATCTAGATTGGTTTGGTCCAGGAAGTAGAATAATAATCACAACTAGAGATATGCATCTACTAAGGATACATGAAGTACACAACACTTATAAAGTTGGATGCTTAGTCCAAAATGAAGCCCTTCACCTCTTTTCCATGAAGGCCTTTAAACAAGGTCAACCTGAAGAAAGGTATTTGGATTTGTCCAAAGAAGTGGTTAAATATACTGGAGGTCTTCCATTGGCACTTGAGGTATTGGGTTCCTATCTATATGGAAGAACCATTGATTTTTGGGATGATGCCTTAAAACATATAAGAAGTTATCCCTACCTCAAAATTGAAGATACACTAAAAATAAGTTATGAGGGTTTGAATCCCCCAGAGAAAAATTTGTTTCTAGATATTGCTTGTTTTTTCAAAGGAATGAATAGAAGTATATTAGAACATTGCGGTCATTGTCCTAATAGAGAAAATATTGATGTTTTGATTGAAAAATCTTTTGTAACTATAGAAAAGGGGAGTGATAAGTTGGAGATGCACGATTTGCTTCAAGAACTCGGCAAGAATATCGTATTTCAAGAATCTCCAAATGATCCTGGCAAACGTAGCAGGTTGTGGTCTCAAAGGGACATTGATCATGTGTTTACACAAAATAAGGTAAGTCCTAGGACTTGTTTGTTGTAAAGTTGAGTAGAATTAATTGAGAAAATTAATGTTAAACTATTGAATGTGACAGAGATATGCGCTAAAATTAATCTTGGATATAAATTTTTGTCATAACTTCTTAAAAATGTGGGGTGTTTGATGTTAGATGAAAAATGTGGTATTCTTGCATTAAGATGCATTGAAAACTGAATAATGAATGTAGTACTTCGTTCTATAAGGTTATGTTATTTGTCATTCTGGTTTTCTATAGGGAACTGAAGCTACTCAAGGTATAAAATTAAACTTAATTGAACCACATGAAGCGCGGTGGAGCACTAAAGCCTTCACAAAGACAAGTCAACTAAAATTTCTTAATTTAGATGATTTGCAACTTCCTCTGGGCCTGAATTGCCTTCCTAGTTCACTCGAAGTTCTTGAATGGAGAGGATGTTCTTTGAAAACTCTGCCACTTACTGATGAAAAGTATGAATTTTTTAACATTAAATTGTCATATTCCAAAATAGTAAAACTTTGGCATGGAAATAAGGTAAAACCGTAAGACCCTTTCATCAAGAGCTCTGTTGAATTTTGTCACAACAAACATAAAATCTATAGTAACCATTTTCTATCTTTCTATTTTGAACAGCTAATGGAAAAGCTAAAGCATATGGATTTGAGATTTTCCAAGAATCTGAAGCTGCTATCTAATTTTTCTGGGGCTCCAAATCTTGAAACTTTGGATCTTGAAGGCTGTACAAACCTTAGTAAGGTTCATCCATCCCTAATACAACACAAGAAACTTGTTCTACTGAATTTAAAAGACTGCAAAAGTCTCAAATTTCTTCCAGGTGAATTGGAGATGAGTTCCTTGAAGGAGTTAGTTCTAACTGGTTGCTCAAAATTTGAACTTCTTCCAAATGTGGGGAAATGTATGAAAGTTCTATCAAAGCTTTCTTTAGCCGGAACAGCTATAAGAAAATTACCCATATCACTTGGATTTCTAATTGGCCTTGATGTTTTGAACTTAAAGGATTGCAAAAAACTTGTTTGCCTTCCGGTTACCATTCGGGAACTGAAATGCCTCAAAGTCTTGGATATTTCTGGATGCTCAAAGCTCTACAAATTTCCAAAGGGTTTAGGGGAAATGAATTGCTTGAATGAACTTTTAGCTAGTGGGATAGTTATTAAAGTTAATGAATCATCATTTTCAATGAATTCTTGTTATCTTCAACGGCTATTTGATAGTAAACCCATTCCCATTGGGCTCAGATTTCCACCTTCTATCTTGAATCTACCATCATTAAGTGTTGTGGATTTAAGCTACTGCAATTTGTCTGAAGAATCGATCCCACATGATTTTTGCCTCTTCTCATCATTGGTGTTTTTGGATCTAAGTGGTAATAATTTTGTTGACCCACCAAGTTGTATTCCTACACTTTCAAAGCTAGAAATTCTTAAGCTAAATCATTGTGGAAAGCTTCAAAGGTTGCCAGAACTTCCATCGAGTATAAGAGCATTGGATGCAAGCAATTGTCCTTCACTAGAAACTTCCAGATTCAATCCATCCAGTCTCTTTTCATCGCTTGCACGACATCCTCCTAAGGTCTATTCTTGGTCTCGTGTGCGTTTGCGAGTGTAGAAAATTCTTTTGTACAAAGTAGTACACCAGCTAATTGACACATATTATGTGACAAAGAAATTATGTGCAACTTCATGTCCCCATTAGGTGTATTACTTTGAGAAAATATAAGAATTTCACTGTGCATGTGGATTAGGTTGGTTACAAGTAACATAATAACCCTTTCTAGTTACTTAAGACATTCTAATTATGTGTTACAGGAATTGCTTGTTAGCCGTGCAAGATTTGATATGGTGATCCCAGGGTGTGAAATTCCATCATGGGTTGTGCATCAAGAAAATGGTAGATATGTTTCAGTCCCTCGTGATGAATGTGCAGGAATTACTTTGTGCTTCCTATTAGTAAGTTATGCGGATCCATCTGAGGAGTGCAGTTATTTAGTTGAATGTTCATTGACTGCTTGCACTGCTAAGAAATACAGTGTATACATCAGTGAGAGGAAATTACCTCCTATGGATCTTCCTCACCTTTATATTATCTTTTTGACCCATGATCAATTCAGTGACCAAATTCTCCAAGACCATCGCTTTGGACTCACTAATGTTTCCAGTCTATCAAAGCAAATGGATTTGAACATAGTGAGATGTGGGGCCTGTTTGGTAGATAAGTAGTACTTTTAAGATGGGACAAACTAGATTAGCAAAAAAAGAATGAAGCAACGACTATGTGCAATAAAAGTTATATTAATATATATTTGGATATGATGAGGAATATGTTGGACAAGTTGAAAGATGAAGACAGAAACTTGTGTACAAGAAACTTTGGCACTCGTTTGGGTGGTCAACTGGTAAACTTCCAAAGTATATGGCTCTTAAGATTGTACGATGCATGTAACTTAGCCTTTGAAATTTTAAAAATTTTCCGTTAGTCTCCCGATTATTGACTGCTAAGTTCTTTCTAATTGTACTCTTTCGCTTCTTTTAATTGAACTACCCTCCATCTAATGTACTCTTTTATACAAATCTTCTCCACAAATGCTCAAATCAATTAAAGAGAGATTCTACCATCTATTCATTTCTATTCTTAACTTGTCTATCATGTTCAGTCATCTGATGCGATATTCTCATCTTTATTACATGGAGTTTATTCTCTTGTAAGTTTTTTACAGTCTTAACAGTGAGTTCCACACAACATCGTAGGTTTCATAATTGTACAATCAAATTTTTATTTGAGCTTGGGATTTTGTTTTTAAAGCTAACTCTTGGTGCAGTCCAATGATTTTAAGAAAATTAATTATTGTGACTATTTTTGTATTCTCTCCTTAGTCACGATCCCTTCAAACGAATTTCTTTCTTTTCTGGGACCTTCTACAAAATATATATTGGCATCTGATCATAAACTTTTTTCCTTCGAAGTTAATGAGGACCAAATGAATATCTTTTTAATTCCTTCTATATATCTATTAAATATTGCAAAAAATATATTACTTTCATGGTTAAACGCCTCGACATAAGTACAAAATGATTTTTAATAACATGAGTCTCTTGTCTTAATTTCCTATCATTCAACCTTTCTCGTAACTTTGTAATTATTGAAAATTACAAAAATATTAAAGGGAATCAACAAATTAAGAATGAGACCCGTTAAAATTTTATGCTTCGAACAAATTTTAGCCAGTGTGTTAGTAGCACTTATCTTTTTTCTTTACTTTATTCCCCTAAAGAAAAAGGCACAACGTTCTCCGTCAAAAAGAAAAAATAGAAAATGATGATTGAAAGCAACTAAAGTAGCTGGCACCGAATTTCCCTCCATACAAGTACCTTCCACTCTCCTTCCATAAAGACCATATGGTTATATTTACACACACTTGCATACTTTTCTTTTTGAATTTTAGTTAGGTAAATTTAATAAACTTCTGTAAAAGTTTTTTTAAGAGAATTACTATAAAAATAATAAAATTCTTCTCGCCAGTCAAAAATAACTTCTCTTCAAATTTTAAAAGAATTAAATGAGAAAACTTTTTAAAAAAATAAAAAAGCATATGTTATTTTTAACTTCAAGAAATTTTATTATTTCTTATATGTGTATATATATATTTTCTACAATTACTTCCATACAAATTTACTCAAATAGCGCCTTGATGACTCTTCACTCTACCTGTACTAACTTCCACACTCTTTCCTACCTGCTTCTGCTAAGACAACATTTTGTATTGAGAGTTTCTTGGAAAAGTCTACACCTCACTATCTTATAATAAGCTTAAACATAACTGGTAGCAACACCACAAATCAAAGACCATACCACAACACAAAAACTGAAATACATGTTGTGGCTGGATATATGTATATTGCATTCACCACATGGAAGGTGCCTCTTCTTCTTCTTATAGTTCAACTTCCACCCCACCAGGGTCATGGACTTACCATGTGTTTTTGAGTTTTAGAGGAGAAGACACTCGTAAAGGATTTACTGATCATTTGTGTGCTTCACTTGAGAGAAAAGGAATCACAACATTCAGGGATGACAAAGACCTTGAGAGAGGACATGTCATTTCACAACGCCTCCTCAAAGCAATTGAACAATCTATGTTTGCAATCATAATTCTCTCACCAAACTATGCTTCTTCTACTTGGTGTTTGGATGAACTCCAAAAGATTGTAGAATGTAAGAAGAACCAGGATCTACAAGTCTTGCCAGTCTTCTATGGTGTGGACCCCTCTAATGTGAGGCATCAGAGAGAGAGCTTTGAGGAAGCTTTCAAAATGCATGAGGAGAAATTTGGACAAGACAGTGAGAAAGTTACAAAATGGAGACATGCATTAAGACAAGTTGCGGGTTACTCTGGTTGGGACTCCAAGGATCGGTATGTTGTCTCACCATTAGTCTTATTTGTTTTTTTATCTGATGATCTGATTGTTGAATTCATAGAAAGACTAATTTGATTGCAGAGAGAGAATATCTCTCACTTTATTATGGAAAAATAACTTTATTTTGATATTTATGGTATATTATCAATCGTTAATCTATTCATTTTTCAGTAGAATCTTGACTAATGCCAAGTGTCAAGCATAGTCATGAGGCAAAATCATTCGTAAATTTTCATTTAGCATCCGTAACGTTGTGTTGGTCCTTCATAGTGTCAAGGTTTGTGTTTCAGGTTTTACCTAGGATTTCCAAAATTTAAAAAAAAATGTGGTTTTAGTTTGTTTCTTTATATGCTTATGGTTGTTGGATTCAATCCAAGGCTTTGTCTTCCTTTTATCCATACAGGCACGAGGCAGCACTAGTAGAAAGCATTGCTCAACACATACATAAAAAGCTGATTCCTAAATTGCCATCTTGCACTGATAACCTTGTTGGGATTGATTCAAGAGTGGAGGAAGTGAACAAGCTCATAGGTATGGGGTTGAATGATGTTCGCTTTATAGGCATATGGGGCATGGGTGGCATAGGAAAGACAACTATTTCTAGAGCAGTCTATGAAGCCATCCAAGGTAACTTCGAAGTTAGTTGCTTCCTTGAAAACGTTAGAGAGGTATCTGAGACAAATGGTTTATTTCACATGCAAAGACAACTTCTTTCTCGTTTAAATATTAGTAGTGGTGATTTTTATGATTTATATGATGGGAAAAAGATAATATGTAACTCTTTATGCAAAAAAAAGGTTCTTCTTGTTCTTGATGATGTAAATGAAGCGAACCAATTGGAGAATTTGGCTGGTAAGCAAGATTGGTTTGGTCCTGGAAGCAGAGTAATAATCACAACTAGAGATATGCACCTGCTAATGACACATGGAGTGCATAAAATTTATGAGGTTGGAAGATTATTCCACAATGAAGCCTTGCATCTCTTTTGTTTGAAAGCCTTTAAACAAGATCAACCTGAAGAAGGGTACTTGGATTTGTCCAAAGAAGTGGTTGAATATACTAGAGGACTTCCATTGGCAATTGAGGTGTTGGGTTCCTATCTTTTTGGAAGAAATGTTGACATTTGGCACAGTGCAGTAAAAAAAATAAGGAGTGTTCCACACCCCAAAATTCAAGATAAACTGAAAATAAGTTATGAGGGTTTAGATTCCATGGAAAAGAATATTTTTCTAGATATAGCCTGTTTCTTCAAAGGAATGAGGTTAGATAAATTGATAAATATGTTAGAAAATTGCGGTTATTGTCCCCGAATTGGAATTGAAATTTTGATTGAAAGATCTTTGGTAACTCTTGATCGATTGAATAATAAATTGGGGATGCATGATTTGCTTCAAGAAATGGGCAGGAATATTGTATTTCAAGAATCTCCAAATGATCCTGGCCAACGCAGCAGGTTGTGGTCTCAAGAGGACATTGATCAAGTGTTGACAATGAACAAGGTAAGTGCCAATGATTTGCCACTTTCGTTGTTAGATAAACTAAATATGGTATTAAGATACAAACAATGATTTGCATTTGACCATCATGTTTTCTTAAGTTTATGTTTTCCTTCATTTGTTAAGGTTGTTTTATTTGTTACTCTGGTTTTGCAGGGAACTGAAGCAATAAACGGTATACTTCTGAAACTCAAACCATATAGAGCACGCTGGAGCACTGAAGCCTTCTCAAAGACAACTCAGCTAAAGTTTCTCAGTTTGTGTGGCATGCAACTTCCCCTTGGTCTCAGCTGTCTTCCTAGTTCCTTAAAAGTTCTTCACTGGAGAGGATATCCTTTAAAAACATTGCCACTAATACATGAACTCAATGAAATTGTTGACATCATATTGTCTCATAGTGAAATTGAACAACTTTGGCAAGGAATACTGGTAGGAACCTTTCATCAAGAGCTCTATTAAATTTTATCAAAATGACATTCAAAGCTGATATCTTTTTTCACCTCTTATTATTTTGAGCAGTTTATGGAAAAGCTGAAGTACCTGAATTTGACATTCTCCAAGAACCTAAAGCGGTTGCCTAATTTTTCTGGGGTTCCAAATCTTGAAAAGTTAGTTCTTAAAGGTTGTGCAAGCCTAACTGAGGTTCATCCATCCCTTGTACACCATGAGAAAGTTGTTCTAATTAATTTAGAAGACTGCAAAAGTCTTAAAGCTCTTCCAGCTAAATTGGATATGAGTTCCCTGAAGGAGCTTATTCTTTCTGGGTGTTCTGAATTTAAATGTCTTCCAGATTTTGGGGAAAGGATGGAACATCTATCAGTGCTTGCGTTAGAGGGAACAGCTATAAGAAAACTACCCTCATCACTTGGATGCCTAGTTGGCCTTGAAATTTTGAACTTGAAGGATTGCAAAAGTCTACTATGCCTTCCTGACACCATTCATGGATTGAATTCTCTCAGAATTCTGAATATTTCTGGGTGCTCAAAGCTTTGCAGAATGCCAGAGGGTTTAAAGGAAATCAAGTGTTTGGAGGAACTCTATGCCAGTGATACTGCTATTCAAGAACTACCTTCGTTCATCTTGCATTTGGATGGTCTTAAAGCATTATCATTTGCTAGGTGCAAAGGACCATTGTCCAAGTCAATGAATTGGTTTCTTCCCTTCAATTGGATGTTTGGGAATCAACCAACTCCCACTGGATTCAGATTACCACCTTCTGCCTCAAGTCTTCCCTCCTTGAAATATATTAATTTAAGTTACTGCAATCTATCTGAAGAATCAATCCCACGTGACTTTTTCCACTTATCATCACTGAAGTCCTTGGATCTAACTGGTAACAATTTTGTTAGTATACCAAGCAGCATTTCTAAACTTTCAAAGCTGAAATTTCTTACGCTAAATTGGTGCAAAAAGCTTCAATTGTTGCCTGAGCTTCCATCAAGTATAATACAATTGGATGCAAGTAATTGTGATTCATTAGAAACTTCCCAATTCAATCCATCAAAGCCATGTAGTCTCTTTGCATCACCTATAGAAACTGGCTTACCCGAAGAATTTAGGAGTTTTATTGAGGTATGTATCCTGAATTTATCAGTAAGTGTAGAGAAATTCTTGAAGTAATTTCATGGTAATTCATTAAGGTCTGTTTGAGTGAACTCGTGGAGAAGTCCTTCTAGAAGAGAAAAATAGTATAAAAATGAATGAAATTTCTCTCATAGATTAAAAATAACTTATGTCTTCAAATTTTAGAGAAGTTAAATGAATTTTTTATATTGATTTTTTCTCCTGTAAAAACATCTCAAAAAGTTTATCCAAACAAGACGTAAGTCAATCAAAACATTACATGTGACACAAAAATAGAATATGTACCATAAATTAACTTCGTAATAAAATTTAAGCCAGAATATGGAGTATATGCTAGACATAATGTCCTACATTGTTACAGGGACGTTGTCTTCCCACTGCAAGATTTGACATGCTTATCCCAGGAACCGAAATCCCATCTTGGTTTGTCCCTCAAGAATGTGTTTCCTGGGCAAAAGTACAAGCCCCTACCAATTGCCTGCTTGATGATTGGGTAGGATTTGCTCTGTGTTTCCTAATAGTAAGTTATTCTATTCCACCTGAATTGTGCAATCATGAAATTGAATGCTATTTGTTTGGACCTAAAGGTAAGATGTTGGTCAGCACTAGGAGATTACCTCCTATGGATCCATGTTATCCTCACCTTTATATTCTCTATTTGTCCATTGATCAATTCCGTGATAAAATTCTTGAAGATGATTACTGGAATGAAATTGAATTTGCATTGAAATGTTATTGCTGTGATTCATTGCAAAAAGTGAGATGTGGGAGTCGTTTGGTGTGTAAGCAAGATGTTGAAGATTGGACAAACGCAATTAGTCAAATAAATAAGAGTTGAAAATATTTGGATTTCATGGAGTTGGTCCTTCACAATAACATCATCCATTCCAGGGATGACATGGAGTTGCCAGTGACATGGTGTGACAAATGTGATCTTCACAAAGAGAGAACTTTAGAAGCAATATCAGACAAAGACAGGATCTTGTATATAAGAAAGTTTGGATTGGAATTCATCTGGGTGGCCAAATGAAGCTGGGCTTCAGGGTGGTATTTAAGATGCCACGGTGACTAGAGTTTATCTATGTTAGATTCAGTCCATGACAATCTACAACTTGGTGTGGTTTAAATTTGAAGTTTGATTTAACTATTTAAATGAGATCGTTTGCATCCATAAATTAATAAAATATGTTTGTATGGAATATTTGTTCTATATTTAGGTACAATTGAAATGAAGTCCTCTTTTATTATTTTTTGTCTCCTCTACGGCTAAAGCCGACAAAGCTCGGCCCATTTTAACCCACTAAATTATAGGGCTTGGACCTTAAATTTTGGGCCCAAATTAACCTTGGGCATTTTTTACCTGTCCCATCTAGCCTTTTCTTGAAAGGATATGGAATCAGGCCAGCCCCATGTGAGTTGAGTAGCCTATTTTGCCAGCTCTATCTGTGGCAGTTTTAATTTAATGGAAGTCTACTCGCCAGTTTAACAAGAAAAACTACGGAGAAACAGTAATGAGCATAAAAAAAAAAAACTTGATGATGAAGAGTTTGCAGCTGCATTGGACTCCATTAGTGAGCATAAAGCTATGAATATGATGATACCATAAAATATCAGCATTCAGAAATTGTTGAGAATCTGAATCAGTATCTAATATAGTGTTTAATGGATTGTTACAAATTTATGGATAGTTTTATGTTGATTTATTTTCGGATTAATGGGTAGAATTAGAATTAATTTTAATTTTCTCATATTTAAAGATTGTTGGTAAGAATGAAAATGTGAGTTTTAGCTTTTCATTTTTTATAACTGCCTAAATTTCTTACTTCTAACAGAAGTCAAGTGCAAAGAAAGAACAAGAATCTTCAGAGAAAGGACTCAGAAGCTAGGAGGGAATGTATTGAACAAATTAAATTAACAGGCGATATTTTACAGCTCTTAGAACAGTATGAATAAAACTACCAGTTAAAGCTGAAGGACTCAAAATGCAGATTTTTAGCTACATCAGATGAGCAAATGGCTGCAACCTCCTGTCTCATCTTCTTGGGTCCAGAAACAAAAACTCCCACACTTGACCCTTTATGTTCAAATAGCAATCCTGCAAAATGAATTAAAAAATTTGTTAACTTCAACTCTTAGTTTAAGCAACTAATAGTATTAAAATTTATTAAAAAAACATTTATTACACTTTAATAAAATAAACGTGGTTTTCTCTAGTAAAAACTTTCTACTTTTTGGTGTTTAAAACTCCACCATATTGGTTGAGGTTAACAAAACACCCTATAAAAAAAAGGGAAAAAAATTGAGAGCATTTTAGTGATCAGCCTCTAGGGACAGGTACGTGACTTACTTCTTAGATCAGGTCTTACACCATAATGCACGTTCGTAGCTTGAACAAGGGATTGGTGAGGGAGGCTTTCCATTTCTCTATCTACTCTATCACTCTTCAACTCTGGGGACACTGATGATGATGACCCTTCCATGTTCTGAATCTGCTTTGCTTCTTCGTTGTTGTGTTTCGTATTCCAAAGAACAGCTACACTAGCAGCCATCGCTATGGACACACATATTGCTAACATGTTGAGGAAAGACCTCAAAGGGTATGAAAATATTTTATTAGAATTATGATCGATAGGGAAAATATAGTAACTGGTAATCATCCCGATTAAGATAAGGAAAACTATGAATGAGGATGAGATTATAGCACAGAGCCACAGCCAACTGTTTGGACCTAAAATAGCAGATATGGGTGCATCTTTTGCATTGGGTTTGAACCATATTTGTTTAAGGTGAATTTGGCTATCCAATTTTGGCTCGTTCTTTCCTGTGATGTAGGCTTCAACTTGTAGTTGCATATCAGAACTGTCACATGGGGTACCATAATTTGGAAGGATAAGATCTAGTATTGAGAGATATGAAGAGTTCTTGAATGCACAAATTAGGATAACTTTTGGGGTTCTGTATCTGAAATTTGCGCTCAAATACATTAGCTCTCGGATAATGGACACAAAGGGGGTGATTCCACTCCCTCCACTAACCATCACTATAGTGTCATACCTACTGAATCAAAAACCAAATGGTTATTATTATATGCATGAAAATTAAAGCACTTGATGGAAATGAAGCTAAAAGTGAGGACTCCAAATTGCATATAACATTTTGTTTCTGCTTCTAAGATTCAAACCTTAGATAATTGGTTGATGAAGGTCCATAAGGACCTTCAACAGAGATATTGAGATGATCTATTACAGAAGGTGTTGAAAGCATCTGGTAGAGCTTCTGGGACCAAGTTCCTTCACCTTTTATGACTACACTCAGCATTTTTGGCTCCAAGTTACTATTAGAAGTAATGGTAAATGGATGCCACTGTAGCTTTGATATACTTGGTATATTTATGAACATAATACTTGTGGGATTATAAGTCAACCCTGCCAAAAAACCGAAACACATATCACTTCTACTCTTAAAAAAATCTAAACATGAAAAATTAAGTATTTCTCAAGTAGAGAAAGTTACATGATATTGAACTAGGATAGTCATGTTAATTACCATGGCTCTTGTAGAAATTGAGCTCTACAGTTTCACAAGGCAAAACACGAGCAGAAACCAAACAAACTTGGCGTCTTGATTGCAAAATCCTTAGGTAACGATCGACTAAGAAGAGGTAGAAACCAGGGAGCATAATGCATGCAGGGTAGATGCCCACATGAAAGATGAAAAATACAATGAAGAGGATGTAGAGGTAGTGAGTGTAGAAGAAGAGTTCAAAGACTTTTTTCCTAATGCGAGGGATGGTTGTAATCCACATTAACAAACCAGCAAGCAAAGCAAGTTCTCCAGCAACATTTGATATCCCATTTTTTTTCCATTCCAGAATCTGCAGTCATACAAAATCATAGCCTCAAGATCAAGAACACAATAACATAGATTTCCCCGAAATAAATCACAATACTTTGGACAATAAAATAAAATAGTCAAAAGACATGTTAGAAAAATGTAGTAACTTCTTTGGATATGAAATGCTTGTGTCATTGTAAGTGCTTGTACAATTTTTTTCCTTTCGTTGATGAGATTAGAAAGATTAGACCGAAATCACAGACACATACATACACAGATGGATATGTGCTGTTTTCAATTTGATTTCATAAACACGAATTTATGGTTTATGAAAATAAGCCAATTACAGTTTATTAACTTGTAACATGTCGAGGATTAACTACTAAAAACAACATGCTCAATTTGCATTATAGCTTCCGTAATCAACATTAAAGCAAATGAGACAGCCAAATTAAAGTAAATAAAAAAGATAAAACTTAAGTACAGGATCACATGTATTTTTGTATTGTTCTCCAATTGAGATTTGAATTTTACTTCAATAATTCATAATAATATTAAATATAAATATTTTATTAAAATAAAACTTTACTTTTAATAATAACACCTGAACAACTACGTATAAATCTTGTCCTGCACAAAATTCGGAACTTTGGAAACTTCTTTATTGGACATTTAATTTGAGACTGGTGGTTTGACACAACAGATTTGCGTTTTTTATTTCTGGGTGATGTGCCAATTCGTCATTGAACATGTTTGACGGCAACATAATGTTCTTGTATCCTCCATTTATTTTATGTGCGTAGTTTAAGAAAACTAATTAATGCAGTATAAAATATGTTATCTAATTTCTAATTCTACACTTTTTTTTCTCTTTTTAATTACTAATTTTTTATTTATTAATATTATTCATTAATTCTCAATTATAGGACTAAAATATATTTTATCAATTAATGTGCTGATAAGTCATGGAGAATTGTTATTAGATCCCATGAATATTTAGATTTTGTAATTATTAATTATTCATTTTATAATAAATATGTATAATAATTAATAATTTTGTAAAAGGTAAAGATATGATAAAAATAATAATACTTTTTCTCTTCAACTTTTAAACTAACAAATAAAAAGAATAAAATTTTATGAAATGATGAGAGATAAAAAGGAACTAAGGGGTTACTAAATACATTTTTCTCATATTTTCATAAAAAATAAATAACTGATTTATTAAGATTTTTAAAATTATACATAATAATAAGTGGTGAAATTGACAACTAATATGTTAAATAAATAAATAAATATATATATATATATATATATACACACGTGTACAAATAATAGGTAAGTGATGCAAGAAATAAATAACTTATTAAAATTAATAAAAAAAATTATATGTTATAAATTTATTAAATCTTACAATAAGAGTATAAAATAAATTTAATAGTTATTAATGTATTTGAAGTTTCTTATTTTAAAAAAAAAATTATTATTATTATTATTATTTATAAATAAAACCAGAAAGTATTACGGTCAGATTTATGGGAGAAAAAATATGATCAACATACACCTCGAGTGGGGTGAGTGAGCTTATCACGTCTCATTTCTAAGGATTATTGATTATTCTCGATCCCTTCTCTCTGACTCTATCTCCCTTCATGTTTCTCAAGTCAATTTATTGTCTGAGTTTCATAGATTCATGCACCGCACTTTAAATGTTTGGACACATTAAATATTCTCAAAATGCACCAAAAAAGAGATAGTAGGGATCTTGATGAACCTTAGAAAGTTGATCAGTAACTGCCCAATAAACGATGAAACAAATACCATGAGTAGTGAAAAGGGCCATGGCCACGTGTCCAAGCCAAATATGGTATTTGATGCAACTCTCTGATGTGAGTCCAAGCAGTGGCAACACTGAGGAACCACGAGCCACTGGAAAAAACAGGAATGCTAAACATATGTTCCCAACTAGGCCCAACCTCAAAGCTGCACTATCTAGTTTCTTCTCCCATCTGCCAAAAATGAAAATGAAAATAAAAATCAAAATAAATAATTATAATTATAATAAATAAATAAAAAAGAAATTGACCACCATCAGCACCAAGTGTCCAAGCCTCATCATCACAATTAATAAAATAAAATAAATCTTAAACTTTGCTGCATGTGTCATTGTGACATCAAGTTGTTGTACATGTGCTTGATAATAACATTCTTACACTTTTACTCCGCGTTCTGCTGCTGCTTTGTGGGTGATTTTGGCAAAGTCATTGTGCAGATAAATTGAAAAGGACCAAACTAGGAGTCCAATGAACATAAATAAGAAAGCAAATTCTGTGCCAGAAACTATGCCAAGAGGGCCTCTCACGAGCACTGCACGCTTCCATATGGATACCTCATGTTTATTGCCATAATTAATGCATCTGATGGTGCAAAAGCCAATTAGCAGAACTGGTTTTTGCTTATAGAAACAGGTAGAAGAACAATGACAAGAAAATATAAATGGGGGTTTAAGAATAAGAAAATGTTGGACCTTTCCATGTTGAATCCATTTTCTTTTTCGGCTATGTGAAGGTATATACATCCCAAAACTGCTATGAACAAGATTGGAGAAGTGTAAACCAGAAGTATTGCACCTGCAAGAAGAATATTGTTGGATTTCGGATATCAAATATAACCTAAAAGAAAGTAATCATGAAGGGAATTTTGGTTATATATATAACTGAACCAAAAAGAGACCTTGTACACCAAAAATAGAATGAGTCTTTGCTTGAAGCCGAGGCATCCATTTTCGTTTGTAAGTGTTTGTGGGAGCCATTATCCAAATGAAAATCCAACCCAGAAACACAACCAGCACTAAAAGCCTTATTGCAGATTGAGAAGGTGACTTTTTCATCACTTCTACATCCATCTTTGGCTTCTTTATCCGTTGGTTTCCTCTACCTTAGAGTTTACACTCTTCAGAGATAACAAAGTAGTGAGTTTGGAGAAAAGAAGACCCTGTGGAATCTCTGAGTGGAACTTACTTAAGTGTAGTGAAAAACTAAAGCCAATAATGTGACAAATTATATAAGTAAAAATCACCTCCTAATGTTGTGTTGCCATAAAGAGTTAACACATTTCATGGTCAACCTCCTCAATATGGCGATCTATGCTAACTGAAGAAATCAAAGGATGACACTTAAAGAGAGGGTGCAAATTGGAAGTCTTTTGTCTGCATTTGGCTTTGTATGAAGGGTGTTTTTGTTCATTTCATTGGGAACCAAAATGAATGGTGAGTATTCAGGATTCATTGCTGAATCAGCGCCTTCAAATAGGGAGTAATTAAAATTAATTAAATTTAGTAACTTGGGATCACTTGGACTGTAAATTTTGCAATTAATAAGGAGAATATGCTTAATACCATCCAGGCTCGTGCCTGTCTGAAGCTTCAGTTGGTCTGCTTGTGTTTGAAGTGTGTAGGCATGCGTTGAAATTTGTTGTGTAAGGATACAATTGTACACATTAGTGAAGGTGTTCAAATCATATTTAAATCATTTTAAAAATTAATTAATTAATCAATTAATTAACTGAAATAAATAAATTCTTCTATTTCTAAAACTTGTAATCATCCTATTTAATGAAAGGATAAAACTTAGGTGCAATTTCTTATCTGTTGATGATTTTATTCACTAATCAAACTTAAAATTTTATTTTAATAATCTACGATAACATAAATATATTTTTTTAATAAAACAAAAGTCTAATTTTAATTGGTGAAGAACACTGTTAACACCTAAATTTGTCTATTAAAGTGATCATATGAATCAATATCATTGCGTTAATGTTATGAATGTTTAAAATCTTCAATTTAAGTACTAAAATGTCAAATATTTCACTATTACCTCATAAACATATTCAGATTCTTATAATTAATTCTTTTAATATATTTAAGTAATATAAAAGAAACGGTAATCATTAAAATAGCTAGTTGTTTGAAAAATTTGTACAAAATAGTTAGACTATAGAAAAATACACAGATAAATTGTTATTTAAAAAGTATTAATGTGTTAATATAAATCAAATAAAAATAATAAATATGAATTAATAAAATTAATAATCTAATTCTATTCAAAACACTTTTAATTAGATTAAATTTGATATTCAATTCAACCATATTTAAACCAAACCATAATTTATTTTATATTTGGTCAAATAATTTTTCACACAAAAGTTAATTCAATCTGAAATGTGAACGCCTCTGTATTACTAAGAACTTAAAAAAAATAACAAGTATTTATAGTATAAAAATAAGTAAGTAAAATTGGTTAAAACCTTATAAAATAAAATAATTTATATTCTTTAATTTTAATAGATTTATTTTCAGTTAACATTTTTAAAATTTAAAATATTTCATTTATTTTAAACTTATAAATTAAGTTTTTATTTTTAAACTTTTTCATCTATAAATACTTATAAATTTTCAAGCAAATTTTAAAGTATAAAAAAATCAAAATAATTATTATCACACAATTAAAAAAAAAAAAAGAATAATTGGCATTGTTCGTTGGTTTTCAAATTTTAAGGCTTAAAAGTTTAAGATAAGATTTCAAGAAGAAAAGTAGCAACAGTTTTTTACGCATTTTGCTTGTATCCAAAAATAGTGAATCCTAAAAACTAATCGGAGACATACATAATTAGAAGTACAAGTTTAAAGAGAAGAAAGAAAGAACAAAGTGTAAAATGCACACAAACTCACGAGTGAGAGGAAGAGTACGTTAATTCCCTCTTAACATTTCTTTTTCTCTATTTTTGGGGAAAATTTTGCTCCAACACTTCAATCTAACTTGATAAGCTTACTCGTACAAGCGATGGCCTTATATATGATAAATTGTGCAATAAAATATTAATAAAAATATGGAAATTTTAATAGACAAGGAGAGATATTGCAAGCACAGACGGTGGAAACAATGAAGATGCCTAAAGAATGTGCCAAAAAGTCGGTGATCTTTCAGGGTTTGATTTGTTCTCTCATCTTTGTTTTTTTTAACATTAGGAGAGGATCAAGATCAACTTCCAAGACGTGTGCATGATGATATCAAGAATCTTTAAGTTGATCCCCAAATAAAAGTAAACTAGATAAATGCTCCCATTTAGCGGTGATGATATATTATATACTTAGATTGTTATGTGCTCAGATGAGTTCATAAGTATGAGTTAATAAATAAGTAGTCTGGTTTTTTTAAATAGTTAGATATATTTAAAAATAAATAAATGGTTTAAATTTTTTACATGTAATTTAATAATATTACTTTTTATATATTTATGATTTAATTTTTATAAAAATTATAAAATTATTTTTTAAATATTTAAAATTTGTTATTTTATATCTTTAGATAATATTAATAGCTATTTTTTAATTTTTTTTCTCAAACAAATCTGATATGTATTCCTAATTTAGGTAGTGAATTTAAGAAGGTTTGCATTAACATGTAGTGATACAATTTTAATTTATAATTAAAATAAATTTTAAATTAATAAATCATTTTAGATCTTTAGAGTTGTTTGTAAATTTTATGTATGAATTTTATTATATTCATAATTAAAATTTTTACATTTACTCTTTTAATCTCAATTCATCTTGAAAATCAGTTTTTGTATTGATAGATAGTTAAATATTTTTCTAAATATTTCTCATGTCTTCTTTATACACTATTTATATTTGTTTCGCATAATTTATGCAAATTTCGCTTAAGTCATATTTTTCTTATACCCAATAAAATGTTAAGTGAAGAAAATATGACTTAAATAAAAGTTACACACAAAAATAACTCACTGAATGAACATTACTTAAGTGTTTATTAATTTATTTAAATCACATAAGATATTTTAATATTCACTTAAGTAGATAATTTTTGGTTTAAGCTTTGCTTAAGTAAAAATTAGGTTAAAAAAATCTTTACACTATATCATATTTTTACTTAAGTTAAATAATTATGACTTAAAAAAATAACTTGGCTTAAGTTAAAAATAATGATTTAAGTGAATATTGACAAAATTTATATATTCATCACTGTATAAAATTAGCTTAAGCAAAAATTAAAAAAAATGATCTTTTTTCATTTTTTAACATTTAATCACATCTCTTTATTCATTATTCCTATTCTAATTTAGCCAAATTGTTTGTTTCTAAGAGAATTAAGATGATTATATAATATTTGTAAATTTAATTATTTTCATTTATAAAGATCATGATTAAAAATGTTACAATGCAAAGAGAATATGATTATTTAATATTTTAGATTCAAAAAAACATGAGTTGCATGCTATTTGAGAGGGAAAAACAAAGAAGAATTGAACTAAATTTTTACGACATTATTCTAAGCATAGATTAGTTAATTTCATTTGATTTGTTATTTGAATATCCTTTTCAACTTATTATCACTCAAATTTCAACAACAATCATTGAATTTATCAAACTAGTCGTTAGAAACATAAAGAAAATGTTTGAACTAATTTTAGAAATAAAGATAAAAGAGAATGAGATTGAGAAATAGGATTGAGTTTTATGTGAATGAAAAAGAAAAAAAACTTATCTTCATACTTGTTACACTAATATTTTTAAAAGATATTTGCTTTAAAAAAAATACTTTAAAAACCTATTTTAAATATTTAATTTTTTGACCTACAAAAATTTATTAAGAATTAAATTATAAATACTACTCCCTCTAGTTCTTTTTACAAGAAACAAAATGGAACTTTTTTTTTTGTTCTTATTATAATAAACAAATGATAGATTTAAGATGTATTAATTGTTAAATTTCTTTTATACTCTTCTTTTATTAGTATTATTAAATATATAAATTATTAATTACATCATTTAATATCATGAGTATTTTTAGAATAAAATTTATATTTATAAAAAATATAACAAAATTAATTATTTTTCTTAGTCCTGATAATTTAGTCTTTTATTTTTTATAAAAATGACAGAAGTATAACTTTTAAAGCATATTATAACATGTGATCTTACTAACTTGTTTATGAGACTTATTACACTAACTTATATTAGTCGTCACCATTATTATGAGATATTTATGAGTAAAATATATATATATATATAAAGTATAATAATAAATATAGCAAATGTTTTAAGAATACGTAATGTAAAAGTAATTTAGGTAATGAAAAGAAAATATTGGTTTATTTTGGAAGAAAGAATAATTAATGAAAGATAATAATTTGATAGTACAATTTTGAAAAGTAAAAATGTTTTTTATTAAGAATGTTTGCGGATATTAATCTTGTCAATATGTTTTAACTATAAGGCTTGTTTACTATTAAGAATTATTTTCTATTTTTTCTTGTTTTTATGTGTAATTAAAAAATGACACCTTGTATTTATTTTTTATTTTCAAATATTTATATAAAACAGTAAAAAAAGTTAAAAATTAAAACTAAAAAACAAAGAATATTTTCTCAAAATTGATTTGGTTTTTCGTTGTTGATGATTCTCCAAAATTATTGAAAAAATCATTCCTTTTTTAGATAACAATGGATGATTGGATCGGGAAAGGTCCCAAATGCTTCCTACATGTGGAACAACTTTCCTAAGGCAAAACATGAAATTATGAAAGGTTTTGAATCCCAAATTGGTGCGAGAACCGCTAACTTTTGATATGATAATTGGATTAGGAATTGTATCGAGAAAGATCTCCTCTGCCAATTCGTCCCTTTTGTCAACATTTCAGATACTGAAACATGTATTAGAAGCCTATGGAATCAAGGGGAGTGAGACTTCTCTAGACTGGCCATCTAAAACATATGGTTGCTGCCATTCAAGTTCCCCCGTTGCCCTATGGGCATAGATACTCTAGCATGGAAAGACTCTATTGAAGGCAAAGTATACAACTCGCTTGGGCTACCAGTGGTTGACGAATGAGGAAGCAGGAGACCTAACCACATGCATTTGGAACTCCATTTGGAGCAGACCCTTACAAATGCACTTCCATCAAATGACAAAAAATATTGCTGCCACTTAACCACCTCCCCCGCTTGCCTAAGTGCTCAGCTCCTAGAGAGGATGTTACTCATATCCTTCATGGGTGTCCTTTCTCTTATGAACTTTGGGCAGGTGTTGGACTTATATTGTTCATCAATATTAGAATTACATGCAATCTTGGGTTATGAGTGTGATGAAATTGCGTTGCCTTTACCTAGCACTAGCCACAATCTGGTGGGGTTGGAAATGGAGAAACAATGTCATTTTTGAGAGACAAGTCTAGCCAGTTAGTTTTGTGTTTCAACAAATTATGTATAGCGTCTTAGAATTTGCTTTTAGGAGACCTCAAATGGAATTGGCTATTGGTTAGTTGCCCCCAAAGCAACACATGGTCATAGTAAATGTAGATGGTAGCTGGTTACCTTCTACGGATCGGATGGGGGGTGGTGGTATTATACAAGACAGTACAGAAAAATAGATACTTGGCTTTACATCTTACTTTGAAAGCGGATGTGCATTTCTGGCTGAACTTAAAACTACAAGAATGGGCCTCCAACGTGGGACAAGAACTATAGGGATATTGTGTGTGAGATGGACTGCTCGAACCTTGCACAAGCATTGGAACCAGCAATAAATATTAGAACACATTAGTTCAAGTCTCACATCCAGGAGGTGCGAAACATGCTCTCCTAAGAATGGAAAATGGAGATTAGGCTTATTCTAAGGAGTCAAAATGGTGTAACTGACAACCTGACCCGCGTTGACTCTGAAGAAAATCTTTCACAAAAAATTTAAAGTAAGCTACCATCTTTTATTTGTCCAGCCTTAGCTTTAGATATTAGCTATTAACTTTTTTTTTTTTTTTACTTTTCCATGTAATAAAAAAAGATAACAATGGATGATGTTGGAGTCTGTTGAGTAATTTATAAGCAAACTAACTTCTATACATTATATCATATTGCCATTAACTCATATGTCCCAGACAACTAGTAAATATTTACAAATCTATTGAAATTAAATCACCTCAGGTATAAATATTAGTAGTGACAAATGAGCTTAACTCGATGAGCTCGTCCGCCTAACCTATTAAAATTGGCAAGTTGGACTAAATGTTGTGGATCCTCCAATTCACCTAACTCATCTTGTTTTAGTAAGTTAAAATGAGAGCTAATGGCACGTTAGCTAGTTGGGCTCAAATTTTATTTTTTAAAAAATAATTAAATATTAATTTTTATTAATATAAAAATATTTTTTATTATTTATTGTAACTTTTTTCTATTAATTTTCAGTAGACAAATTCATCAATTCAATGACTTACTAACTTTTTTATTTTATTTTTTGAGTTTTTAACGAGCTGGCTCACTAACCTGTTAACCCACTTTTAAACGGGTCAGACTAAAACAAATTAGCCCATTTTTTAAATGAAGCGAGCTTAGCCTGTTCTTAGGCAAGCTTTTGGCAGGTCAAGCTGGCCGTTTTGACACCCCAAATATACGTGCTGAAACAAAATAAAAGCATGCAGAAAATAATGAGACTAGATGCATTTCTAATATTGAAAATAGCAAATATAAGGTGATGGGTATCTGTTTAGTTTAGCATTACTCCTCACAAATAAGGTCTAATCTGGAAGTCGAGTGTTGCCAATGCCTATGTTGCAAATGTTCTCAATAAAAAAAATGATTCCTTTAAAAAAAGAATTATACTGTATTCATTAGGATAAACGGAGATCGAATATTACCTGGCTCTAAAATTGAAAGAAGACTTGGATGGAGGAATAAACTGAAATATTGTGAAGTTTGTTCGTGGGCACAAGGCACGACTGCAAGTGAGTGATTCTACATAGTGATATTTTTAACATAGAGATTACAAAACTTTAGTCGACGCACCTCTTATATTTTTCCTCCTCTTTCTCACACCCTTTTTTTTTTCCTCACAAACCAATGCATCACTGCTTCAAATGGATTTTTTTGTGTTCTGTTCAGTAGTGTGAGTGCACAGCAAAACTAAAATGACCCAAATTTGGAAGGCACAACTCAAAATCTTTGCCTGAAGTGAACATCATTTGAAGTTTCCACCCAAAAGAGGGGGAAAAAACAAACATCTCTTGAAGATGATAAAGCTCAGAATGTTGTGTCAACCCTGCCGCGCGCGCGTGTATATATATATATATATATATATGTGTGTGTGTGTGTGTGTGTGTGTTAAAAAGCATTTGTTAATTGTCTAAATTTGATGAACAAGCAATCATTCAACAGCGGAGAAAACATGCAATTTGCGAGTCTCACAAATTTTGTAGATCCAAGGAGAATGTCAGCAGTTCTCCGGAAAAGCTGGAAGTTCCAATGAAAATTTTCAGCAGTTTCCAGCAGACTTGGGATAATACTTTTCAGCGTGCTCATGGAATTAGAAATTTTTCCATGATTAATTCCAACAATACTTGCCAAATCTCATTATTTTGAGGCATCAGCAAACTCATATTCTCACTCAATATGAAAGTTACATAATTATTTTCCAAAGTTCAAACAATTACAATGATAAAAGCTACATTATAAAACAGAGCAAAATGAACAATGATAAATAAACAAAGTCTAGTGGCAAAAGGTATGCCTTAATGCTTAATATTATGATATGATATAAACAAATAAGGCAGCTTAGATATAGCACAACAATCCCTAAAAACTAAAAAATTGGTCACAGTCGGGCTTTCAAGATGTCTTCCTTTCTAGCTTGATTCGCAGCATGTTCCTTCATGCTTCTCTTTACTTATGAATGCCACCTTAGATGGCTACATTTGGTGATAGTTTACACACAACTTATTTACTTGCTGACTAAACATTGCCGGTCTTTTTCTTTTCTTCCGATAAATCTATATATTGCTAATCTTCTTGTCTTTTCTTTTGATATAACTATATATTGCCAATTTTAACACTATCATCCGATAAATTCACAGGCAACCTTGACCATGATACAGACTCCCTTGACCCAATCAACCTTCTACGAATCACTATGGACAAGCTTAAAACAATGCATACAGCAGCCACCAAGGTAAACAAAATACCTGTATTTCTTGTTGACCAGCTCTTCAGAACGAAATCAGCACAAACCTCTCCATCAAGACTATTGTGAGAATTGTTCAACTTCATAACCTCAACGCCATTCAATATACCGTCAATGACATGTGGAATGCTGTTCTTCGAAGGACCTACACTAACACTCAAAGCCCCTACACTGCTATCTCCATCAACCACAAAGTCGGCATAAAACGGCGAAGCCAGCGAATTTGTAACATAAGAGAGATCCAAATCTTCATAGGCCAAATACCCATTGACATAAACATTGAAATAAAGCAAACTAAGTGACATACTAGCAATATCACAGAAATGCAACCGAACCAGGTACTTATATCCTCCAACAATTGGGAACACCCAAGTCATATTAACATTAGGAACAGAATCATTCTTACTTCTGATCAACCTAGCACTATTATACACATTATCAGGTCCAACCTCACGACTAGCCCCTCCAACACGATACTTAATCCTCCCACCAAAGTAAAGCTTTTCAGACCCAACACTTGATTTGAAGAACCCATCATCAGGAACCCAAGTTCTCCACAAGGAATCATTAAAAGGGGTAACTTTAGGACCCCCAACAGTGACCCTATAAACAACTTCAAGAGCTTGCTTGTTTAACCCATCAAAATTCTCTATTTTCCCTAAACTAACATATTGTGCTGTGTCAGGGACAAGATCTTTGGGAGCAGAAATCACCTCAATGGCATTGATAAACGCCAATTTCGAATCTTTGCTAGGCACAAACACAATCACGAGCTTTTCAGCATCGACCCATGTGAGATATTCAACGATCCTAGGGTTTCCTTGGGCACCATTTACCAAACGGGTAAAATTGCTCAAAACGACATGTCCATCAAGCAAGACGTGAAATTGAGCGCGACCAAGGTCGAGTTTTGAGGAATTGAAGGCGTGGAAGTGAAGACGCACCATGTGGGTCCCTCTGTCTCTGATGGGGAAAGAGTACCTAGCAGGGCTTGTGAAAACCCTAGCAGTGTTGTAGATTGGTGGCAAAGCGGGAAAGGGGTTATCATTTCGGATCGCAACGGCACGGGAGGAGGGAGAAAACGGGGATTCTTTCCCGGCGAGGTCGCCGGAGAAAGGACGGTTGTCGATTAGGGTGGTGGAGACGGTGGAGCCGCAATTGACGAGGTAGTTGTCGGGGGGAGAGAAGAGGTGAGAAAGGACACAGAGAGAGTAGAAGGAAAGTGAGAAGAGAAAAGAGAAGAAGATTTTAGTGATGAAGTTCATGGATGAGAGTGGAGAAGATGAAGATGGAAGGATGAAGAAGACGAGAGTATTACGCTGTAATAAGAGAGGATGCGTTGCGTTTTGATGGGGAAGAAGAGAGTGACCTGGACCAAGTGGATTGGGGGGACCCACACGCTATCTCACAGCCTGGGTTGACTCATTCCTTCACCACTATTAAGTTTGAATTTTATTGTACGTACAAATTGGGGGAACTAAAATTCAAATGTAATAAATACTTTTATTTTTAATAAAAAATTAGTATTTTTTTATACTTAAATTTAGTTTTAAAATTAAGACTAATAAAATAATAAAAAAAATTAATTATAATATATTAACAACGTTATTTAATTATAATTTATTATATTGACAAAGATTATTGGTTTTTATAATAATTAATTTAAATTTTATATTTTTAATTAATTAATAGTGTAAAAATTTATAGTGGTTATATATCAAAATTAAACTCAATTAATGATAGATAAAACTTAATTACTATAATATTTTAAGTGTTTCTATGTTTCTTTATTAAAAATAGTTTTAAAATACTATATTTAAGTTTTATTACCTGTCCTAAATATAAATTCTTTTGAGGAGTTTTTCATATTTTCTTGTATTATCTTTTTTCCAAAAATATCGTTGGTAAAAATAAAGTAATTAAATTAGTAAAAAACTTTAGAGATAATCTTAAAAAATTGAGTATCATTAATAAAATTGATTATACTTTTTATTTTTATGAAATAATTAAAAAATTATTATATTTAACATTTGAAGTAGTATTAATAATAAGTGGAGTAAGAGAGGTTCAATCCTTTTTTATTTTATGGTCAATAATTTGGATTGAGAAAAGGCCACTTGGCTTAGAAGTATTGGACTGTGTCGGTAAATTTTAGTCTCCAATTAATTAATTTTATTTAAGAAAAACATTTTCCATCAAATTACTGAGAAAGTTTTAAGAAAAAAGTCATTATTTTTGTAAAAGTTAAATTTTACCAGTCATCTTATCCAACTCGATCACTCTTGGATTCGTCATTCCTTTACCTATTCTCTCACTCGGAGATGAAGAAAGAAAAATATGTTCACTTACTTGGACCAAAAAATAATTATTAGCTTTAAAATCAGTTTATGATAAGAGTTTTTTTTTTTTCTTCCATGTCAACGTAATGAATAGTATGTATATTTCTACACCGAGTGGAATTGTTCAGTACAGCAAAGTTAATAATAACGATTGTAGCAATTGTCAAGTGTCCTAAGTCCAAAGATGGAGTCAACATGAAACTTGGTCTTAATACAAGAGCACCCTAGTGCAAGTTTTTTGATTAAAAACATGTTAAATCTATTTTACAAACCAATGACAAACTAATGAGGTTTTTCATTTTGGTCTAATAGTCCATACACTAACATTTCTTTCCATGTTAAAACTTGCAACTATTTTTAATATATATTTGGCACTTGTTCAAAACTACATACAAAATTATGTTGAATAAATTTTGCATTATAGAACAAATAAACAACTATTTACATGGTAAAAATGTTATTAAAAACTAATTAAAGTCGTATTTCTTCATCACATTTTGAAATTTTGATGTAATTTATAACATTTTTACAACACAAGAACCCCACCCAAAAGAAAAAGCACTAATTTACACTTGTACCACTCGTGATTGCACACACTATACTTTCCATTATGAAATTCTTCAAAATAATTTGAAAACGATTAGGAAAAAAAGCAAAGAAAAAAAAAACGATTAAGAATTATGAGCAAAAGATTGAACTATTCCCCATGCATGCCTCTTGGCTACTTCTCAAGAACTTCACCTTCTCTACATTCTCCTACGTCAATCACTAGAGTACCTTCCTCCTTTGTAGGTTGAACCCTGCAACAATTTCTTCTTGGAGACTGCTCAAAACAAGAACACAAAACAAAACCCATATAAGTAAGCATATTCTCATTTCCATTTAAATCCATGCCAAATCAAAATAACATTTGAAACACAATAGAGATGGGCCAAATTTGGGCCTTAAAATAGAACCTACCTTGTCCCACAAATGTGGGTTGGGCTTTTTATGGACTTTCACAACTCGGATTTGGTTAGGATCCGCCATTTTCCACTTGCATTCCGGATTCGGGTGGACCCGAATATACTCGCTTAGAGTCTCATTAGCAACCCCATCATAGGTTGCATTAGACAAGTAAAAAACAAAAGGTTTTTGACAATAGTTCCGATTGAATGGGCGCGTGTTGAACGGATATCCGATAAAATCTGGCCGGCGATACCAATTCAAGAAGGTTCTGGGCGGCACCTCCATGTCCCGGGGCAAGAAAATGCCCCGGATTAACTGAACCGAGTAGCCCCATGACACGGATATGGTCCAGACACGTTTTTTGTCGTAGCAAATGGATTGTTGCATAAGCCCATATGGGTCCAGTTTTATTGGGTCTTTGAGGCGCTGTAGGGCCTGAACCCGGTCCATGTTTGGAAAAATGGGCTCAATCACGTCCAAGTGATGCAAGGAAACTAATGGTGTAACGGGATGAGCTGATAGGAGTCCAAACACATTGCCGTACACATCAAACTGCAAAAAAAAAATGAAAAACAAATATATGTGAACCCCAAAATATTATTAGAAAAAATCCATTGTAAATGTAGGCATATGTTATTTTATACAAGTACCTGTAACACTATTGTAAAAAAAAATTGATAACGATATATTATCTAGCATATTATTTACAACACATTATTTTTAAACAAAAATTCATGTGAAATTCACTAATAAAAAATAAGATCCATATTATTGAATGAAACTAACATGAATTTTATATAATAAATAATGTGTTAAAGGGAATATCTCTAAGTTTCTTGTTATTATTTATCTATAAATGTGAGGCTGCTCTTTACACAGACATATGATGTTATATCATAACAATATGTACTGCATTAATAATTAATAATTAATAATTAAAACACATACAAAATTGAAAATTTAGTCGTATAAGTTACCTTCTATTTCTTCAAGTCTTACTATATCTTAACAATTTATTTTATCATTAATCTTACCCTTGTTGATATAAACTTTGAGTATTAAAAATTAAACAGTTAATATAAATATTATGAAAATATTAATAGTATGATTATTAATATAATAATTATTTTTTAGTGAATTTGCCGATTTAGAAAAGGAGATTTATTGTCACAACACATATAACAACAGAAGAACTTTGATAAGCCAGCTAATGATATGCTGGATCCAAATTCCCAACACTGCTTAATATGTAGCACAGAGAATGCCAATTTTATGTAAAAGGATGTCGCTGTTATGTGCATGCCATCTAACTGATGACCAACAAGAAACCAACACGGGTTTTATATTATGTGACAAGTGATCTCATTTTTTTAAGAAAAAGAAAATGCCATGAGTGGGGTTAGGACACCTCAGCACAGCACTAGTAATAAAATGGCCACGTGCACCACACGTGGAGGCTGAGCATGTCTTAGATATTCTTAAAAGCTCATTTACATACAAATTTTTAAAAATATATAAGAAAAAGAAAAATGAGGAGAAACCAACAACTTTTCCTAATTGGCTTTTTCGATAATGGGAGATGGGGGAGAACGACGTTTTCAGTGGTGGTTTTGGTTTCATTTGATAGAGGAAGTCAAGAGGAATTGTGTAACTGAAGCATTTCCAAGGAAGAAGAAAAAGATATTTTTCAATTTTCTAAATATAAAAACATAATATAGTGTATGCCGCCACCTATAATATTTTTATTTTTATGTTATGGGATTAGAAAAAAATTACCATTATTCATGAACAAGTTTCTATATCTCAAAATTGTATTATTCATAGACTATCTACCATAAGTATATTTACCTTGAGTGAAAGAAAATCATTTTTATCGTGGGTAAGCTTCTATTCTATTTTATGACCCTCCCTTTGGCCTAAGACTAAGCTTCATTTTATAACTGCATTATCCCATTTAATAAATTTTGAGAAACGAAAAACAAAACAAAATAAAATAAGAAGATAACCCACATGGAGAAATTATGGATCAAGTGGGTAACCTAAAGTGACAGCTCATAGTTTTTAATGAAACTAAACCATATGAATCATCCATCATCTACCTTCTTTTCTGTTATTTTATTATAAGCACTTACCTCCACCTTAATCATATACTTATGACCAATGTCAAGCAGCACAAGAAATACTAAATTAGGAAAATATAAATAAAAAATATTAAGAAGGGTTGACATTATTAAATTAAACTATAATTTAAGATTTTTTCTAAAACAAACTGAACCAAATTCAGCACCTGTGTCACATTCACAAATCAGGCAAGTGAAAAATTGAGGGACAGCACTAACCTGATGAAAGCCAATCTCCTTAGTGAGTGGAACACCAAGTTCTGACATACAAGCTTGAATCCTATCATCTGAGCCATACAATGCAGGGTACCTCTGTATGCACCTATCTTGCATTCTCTCCAATGCCAAAGCCAAAGGGTAACTAATGGCAAACCCACCACCCCCAAAAGCCATATTATAAGAAAAATGAATATTTTGCATGTGGCTCTCTGAAGAGGTTCCAATGTAATAAAACTGATTGTGATCATACTTTTGCAAAACCTTAACCAAATTCTCAGTGACAAAGAAAGTGTCATCATCTCCCATCACAAACCACCTCACATTCTCCATCCTAAGCTTCACTGTCTCTGACACTATACGAGATATCCTAATGCCTGACTTGTTGCCACGTGGATGCTTGTACTTGAACTTTGAAGAGTCACTAGAAATCTTCAATGTTGGGACCAAGTACTCATCACCAGGTTCAGTTTTCACTTGTTGGTCTAACCACACATTGCCCCTTGTTTCATTGGGTCTCCACCATAGTTTTATGTATTCTTTTCTATGGTTCCAGAGCTTGGATGAGGCTCCTATGCCAAATACTATGTGGGAGATGTTGGTTTTTTCAAAGGGTTTTGGAGGGTCAGTGTGAGATAGGTGGGTAATGGGAAGAAGGTAAAGTCTTTTTTGGGCACAATCATATGAATGAGTAAAGAATCCAAGGCAATAGAAGAGATAGGATGAGGTAATTAAGAGGAAGAAGAAAGACATTAGCTTTGTTATGGTCCATGAGTAGTGAAAGTGTTCTGAATCTTTGCCATTGATGTTCATGGTGGACATATATGGTTTTGAGGATTTGATGAGTTAGAGTGAGAAGAGAGAACCCCACAAATTAGTAGTAGCAGAGAGAGAGAGAGAGAAAGAATAGTGATGTGTGATTCTGTGAAGGGAAATTTGGGGGTTTTGTAGAGACTTTGAAGGTTACACTGAAAATTATGGTTATGTGATACTTTGAGCTAAATAAGAATTCTGAAGAGAATAAGGCACATCTGTTACACTGGATAGTCTGTGACTCGTAGGTTTATTTTTATCTTTTAATTAAGATAAATTCTTCGGAGTTCATATTGATCAAATCAAGTTTTAATATACAATAACTGCCCAATTATCCCAAATGATAATTGTTTGAGTCTGTTAAACTTTTTAAAAAGCTATCCTTTGGGAATGGGATATAATCTATCTTTAAGGATAATAAATTTGTTGCTATAATTTATGATCGAAAACTATATTTTGTTATACCTGAAAGTTAGAAAAAATTTGTTAAGTATAATATCATCCAAATAATTTCTAACATCGTTTAAACAAAAGGCAATGGATTATTTTAATAGAATTTACTTATAAAAAGAAAAAATATTTTAATATGTTTCTATTTGAATTTTTTGAAGTTCGTACCAAAGTTATATTCAAATACACGATTTTTCCTCATTTAGTTTTTGTAATGTATGGGTAGTTTATTAATATAATTAGAAATTAAAAACTAAAATTTGTTACATTTTGAAAGTCTTTTAAATAAATCTTTCAAATAAACCATGTGCCTAAACTCTTATTAACAATTTGATATACCATGTAATTTTTTTTCTCTTATTTCTTTTGTGCTCTTTTTAGTTACTTTAATATTTTTAAGATGCAATTATTAATATACGTATGTATACATATTCTATTTTTTGAGATGTAATTATTAATATATGTATGTAGCTAAATACCCATTACTTGGAAATATGTGAACTTTGTATTACAAGTGCAAGCAGGTGAAGAACCTTCAAGTAAGATAGAATCAGGGAAACTGTAAATTATATAGCCAAAACCAATCCGTGAAGCAAGAAAAGTATGACAATTTTAGTACTCTGTATTCTACAAGTATTATAAACTAATTACAAGTGGAAGAGTATTTTTACTCAACAGTAATGGTGCTTTCTTAAATAATTTGGTTGTGATTGATAACTTTGAAAAAAACAATGCATACAATAAGTAAATTTTGACAGAAATAATTATATTGATAATTTATATATTAAAAGTTTTTGTTATGAAAAACTAAATTTTATGTATTTAAAACAAATTAAAAGAAGGGACAAGGGTGTCTTGAGTTTGGAGTTCATCATATTTAAATTGATCATAATGGTTTAAGTGCCAGTAGAGTTTTGCAATTTTGGACCACATATTAAGAAAGCTATTATTTTGAATCAAGAAATTGACCAAATAGAGACAAATTGCAGACATTAATAGGAAGGTAACCAGGTTATTACTTAGTTCAAGTTATGAAACAGTATAAATGACGATGAAGAGAGATCTAATGAAAGTCTTCTATATATGGAAGGGTGATTTGTCGGTGGAAAATGGAAATTCTTGGAAAACTCTCAAATATGCTATAAAAAGAATGGTGTTTGTATTCATTTTATATATTGCAAGTTTGTGGTTTGTGACCCCCTCTCCCACTTCAAAAGTGGTTTCGAATTTGTCAAATTTTGATTACTTGGAATAATATTTTACAAACATAAATGCCCTTTTTGTGCCATCAACTTTAACTCATTTTTCAAATTTAATCACCGGTTTCATAATATTCTTCGGTGCATTTTGAAATATATCAAATAATACACCTTAACAAGAGGATCGTGTAATTTGTCAAATACTACATAGAATTGGGAATTCATCTTAAATTAAATGCATGGTTAAAAATAAGATATAATACTTAAATTTTCCCTATATTTATCAAGTTTTCTTCAATTTTTTTAGAGGAATTTCTTGGGATTTATATTGTGAATAATGAAATCTTTTGGTTATTTATTGCAGAAAAAAATCATTAAAAAATTGTAGAAATATTTCAATTTTCCTATAATTTTTTTTTGCACAAAGAATACGTTAGGAAATTTAATTTTTAATTTATTTCCCAATAAATTCGTAGGTAAAAGTCATATAAATTTTCCCAAAAAATTTAATTATTTCCTTTGAATTTTTCCATGAATAAAAAGAGCAAAAGTTATATTTTCTGCACAAAAAAAAAATTTATAAGAGAAAGCCATTGAAAAAATCAAATAAAAATTTCTACAATATTTTGTTCTTTTTGTTATCAATTATCTTATCTCACATTTTCTCTTTGCTGTATTTTTTAATATACAATTTTTCAAATAAAAACTACTAAATACTTTCATCACAATGATTTCAGCTTAGTCAATAATTTTAAATTTGAATTTTAAATACATGATTATGTTAAATACTAAAAATATTTTTTATCTCATGTAATAATTTCACCGTGCTTGAACACTGTAAAACATATATACGATCTAAATATCAAAAACAAAAAGGGTTGTCATTTATTTTTTATTAACCCATCAATAAATTCTGTGGTTGACCGAGTCCCAATGCAGGCCTTATAAATAGCAACCCATTAAAACTTGAGTTGGCCCAGAAACCAATAGTATTGGATCAAGTTTTCCCCTCTTAACAAGTCCAGTGAACTCAAGTCAACGTTATTTTTTCTTGACCCAAAAAAGTCAATGTTTTCTTTAAAAAATCATAGAAATAAAAAAAAACAAAAAAAAAAAAAACGATTTAGAATCCTTAACATTTACGAGAAACATTAATCCCGCAAAAAACGGGTGATTAAATGCCAAAAGTAGGAAACGGAACCAGCTCACAAATGTTTTTCCGTACACAAAAATGTCGGAACAGAACTAAAAATTAAATGATTAACATAGTCATTAAACAACAAATCACGTGATTTAATTAATTAATTAATTGTGAATTGGATGACAACGTATTACGTAGAGAGGTGTATGCATGGGGAAGCATATGTGAGAGGAAGGGCATGATCGATGGCGATGGAAGGAGAGAGAGACGAGTCGGACGAGTCAACTCGGTCGACGAAGGAGGAATTGGAGATGGTGGAGGAGATCCAGCGAGTCATCGAATCGGTGGTGCAATTCGGCGAATACCGAAGGACGCAGAGAAAGGAAAGCCACAACCTCGTGCGTCGTTTCAAGCTTATGCTTCCGCTCCTTGAAGACCTTCGCGACATTCCCCAACCCTTTCCCCAAAACGGCATAGTTTGGTTAACCAAACTCAAGGACGCGCTTTTATCTGCCAAGGACTTGTTGAAATTGTGCAGCCAAGGAAGCAAGATTCACCTCGTAATAATTCAATGCTATCTTTTCAAATGTTATGTTTGGCTTCAGCTTTTTCATCCATAGAGTTATATATTCTCTCATATATATGAACTAATGTTTTATTTGTTTATTTATTTGGTTTAGGCAATGGAGTGCGAGTCCGTTATGATTAGGTTTCAGAGTGTGTATGACAAATTAAGCCAAGCATTTGATGGTGTGCCTTGTGATGAATTGGGGATCTCCGATGAAGTTAAAGAACAGGTAGAGATGTTTTTGGAAGAATCAATTTTCAAGTTTGTAAATGTTTGTGAAAAGTAATTCTGTGATTATTATGAGTTTTTCCTCATATAATGATTTTTTATATATCTTAAAAATCATTTTTTTAAAAAAACAAATAGCCCCATTGTTGTCATGCATCTTGAATATCATAGATCTTGAGGTAATCTTACACATTGCATCATCAGCTTGAGCTAATGCACGTGCAACTGAGGCGAGCCAGAAGAAGAACTGATACACAGGACATAGAACTTGCAATGGATATGATGGTGGTATTTTCTGAAGAGGATGATAGAAATGCTGATAGTGCTATTATTGAAAGGCTAGCAATAAAGCTGGAGCTTCATAGTGTTGAGGATCTTATTGTAGAAACAATGGCTATTAAGAACCTTGCTGCAGAAAGAAAAGGGCAACATGCTGAGAGTACCAAGCGAATAATTGGCCTTCTTAACAAATTCAAACGAATTTCAGGAATGGAAGAAACCAATGTCCTTGATGATCCAACCACACCCAAGACGCTTGAGAGGTCTACATCTTTGGTCATCCCTCATGAGTTTCTCTGCCCAATAACTCTAGAAATCATGACAGATCCTGTTATTGTTGCAAGTGGACAGGTAATCACATAGTTCTTCAATTGATTTTCTTTTGTTATCTATTGAGAGGAAATGCAAAAGCTTTTTCATGTTCGGTATTGTTTAAACTTGAAGAAATAATAATCTTTTCTTTTTCTCCAAATGTTCTCTCAGAAATGGGCATAAAATAAACAATTTTTTTTGTCTAAAATAGTTTAACCAAACATACACTTATAGCTTAATAGCGTGTTTGGGTTCACGTTTAAACCTTGTATTCATGCTTATTTCAACGGTAATACTTATAACTCATGCGTTAGATTCTTGTTTTTTAACGTTATTTCAAACACACAGTAAAAAAAAAAAAAACCCTCAAGCTAGTTTTATTGGCTAGTGTTTCAATGATGAAAATTGAGACTTGCTCTATGATATGATACTGAAAACTTTTATTTTCCTTTCTATTGTGTGTTTCCATGAAAGACATATGAAAGAGAAAGCATAGAGAAGTGGTTCCAGTCAAACCATAACACCTGCCCAAAGACTAGGCAAACTTTGGCTCACCTATCATTAGCACCAAACTGTGCATTAAAAAACTTGATTGAAGAATGGTGTGAGAAAAACAACTTCAAACTACCTAAAAAATATTCTGCTTCTTGTCAAGAAAGCTGTTCCATTGAGAACAAAGATGAAATTCCATCTTTGGTGGAGAGCCTATCGTCTATTCATTTAGAAGAGCAGAGAAAGGCAGTGGAGAAAATACGTATGCTATCAAAGGAGAATCCTGAGAACAGGATTTTGGTTGCTGAACACGGAGGAATACCACCATTAGTTCTACTCCTATCCTACCCAGATTCAAAAATACAGGAACATGCTGTGACAGCACTTTTAAATTTATCAATTGATGAGGGTAACAAGAAACTTATATCTAAAGAAGGTGCCATTCCAGCTATTATAGAAGTGTTGGAGAATGGGAGTTGTGTGGCTAAAGAAAACTCAGCAGCAGCATTATTTAGCTTGTCAATGCTTGATGAAAATAAAGAAATTGTGGGTCAATCAAATGGGTTCCCTCCTTTGGTGGATTTATTGAGGAATGGAACAATTAGAGGGAAGAAAGATGCTGCTACAGCACTTTTTAACTTATCCTTAAACCATGCAAATAAAGGTAGAGCCATTAGAGCTGGTATTGTGACACCCTTACTTCAATTGCTTAAGGACATTAACTTGGGTATGATTGATGAAGCTCTCTCCATTTTGTTACTCCTTGTATCAAATTCAGAAGGAAGACAAGAGATTGGACAACTCTCCTTCATTGAAACACTTGTTGAGTTCATGCGAGAAGGAAGTCCAAAGAACAAGGAATGTGCAGCTTCTGTTCTTCTTGAGTTGTGTTCAAATAATTCATCTTTTATATTGGCAGCACTTCAGTTTGGAGTGTATGAGCATTTAACTGAGATCAAACAAAATGGAACAGATAGAGCAAAGAGGAAAGCAATTGCAACCTTAGATCTCATAAGCAGAAGCGAGCAAATTTAATCTTGCTTTCTTCAATGTAGATATATTTATATTACTTCATAGTAAATTTAACTAATTCTTTCATATATACTGATGTACAAAGTACAGTTAAAAAGTGTAATTAAGTTTGTTATCAAACATCCATCCCTTTGACTAGGTTTAATGAATATTTGTTTTTTAAAATTTGAAATCCTAATGCCATCTTAATTAAGTTTGTTCATGCAAAGTTTTGCTTTTTAAAATTTGGTTTCTGAATTTCGCTTTGCAATAGATAAGTAAATAAAACTATATGATATCAAATACATAAATAAGCTTCCCTTTCAAGTCTCAACATTGTTATTATAAGGTACAATAATGTGAGTGCATGAAATTAAAAATTCATTCTTTGAATCAAACCGTGTCCTTTCTGTGCACTTCGGCATTTCTCTCATAAATGTAATGTGACGGTCACCCTTGTATCTCTGCATACCTAATCACGACTCAACTTTTTCTTTTAATTTCGGATTATTATTATTATTATTATTATTATTATTATTATTATTATTATATGTGTGTGTGTCTTGCAGAGCCACAGAAATACGTGTGAACCACCGATACTATTCCTTGCTTTGTAGGCTTATATTTAGCTAAGCGTTTTGTAAATTGAATAGGCATGTCCATATCTATGCATTAATATATTTGTGTTCGCAATTGGGAGCTGTATCTATGTCAAATAGTTACCAGCTATAATTGGATAGATGCCTTCTAATATTAATGCAGGTGGATGACATATAATTAATAATTATCTTTTTTAACATTAATATTATATAAGATAAAAAGTTATAAATGATAAATTTGTATTAAAAGGTAAATAATTTAATGTCAATTTAATACATTGAGACTATTGGATATTACAAATTTTAATAAAATTTGTTATATATAACTTTTGATAGAAAAATCGATACATAAATATCTTTCCGTCGATCGTATTTTAGTGTTTGATTATTAATCAACAGGGAGCAAGGAAGGTTCCTTCAATTTGTAATTTTCTTTAGAAAAATGTTTTATGTATGACTGAAAGTAGACATTTAAAGGTATTTTATATATTTAAAAGATGTGTATATCACAAATAAAAATAGTAATAAACCGTATCATATATAAATTTTTTTTAACCGTTCAAACAATAAAACTATTTTCTTTTATTTGTATATGGAATGGGTCTATCTTGTGCACAGGAGAAACATGGAATCATTGTCTTCAGATTTCTGGATTTGTCCTAGAATGTCGTTAATTAGCGAATGCATAAATTTAGTAGTGGCCTATGTTAGAATGGACACAATAAAGACATTAAACCTCTGGGTGCTACCCAATTAAGACACAAAGTGGGCATCTTTTTATATATTCTTTGTTGTTTATCAGATATATATTAGTAATGTCAAGTATATTCATCTCTTTTTCCTTTTCTTTTTTTTCTCTCTCTTTGAAAATACCAAACAATTGGATAAGTTCCTCTCAAGTTTGAGTTTTTTTCTAATGTAATTACCTGAAAAATTTGGAGTGAAAAAATCAAACTCGATTCGGTAGCGTTGGGTGCACGTGGATAGGCCCGAATGTCTAGGATCCTGTGGGTATGTAAGCAAGCATCGAAAAGCACGCTTTAACCTGAGCGTAGGAGCGAGCCAGAATGCAAGAGAAGAGTACAGAGACACACTTGTATGCAACAACAAAAATGAAACAAAGCCATTTTCTGAACTACATTGAACAAAGGCACTAACACAACACATCCACAGGTGATGAGAGCATAGAGAACTAAAATGAAGAACATGATGAGGAAAAACAAACGTACTGATTATAGACACGAGACTAAGAAGAGAAGATGGAAGTGGGGAAGGTACGTAGATGGATATACCATGTATGTGTGGTCATTCCTTTTTGTCTCCTGCTTTTTGGCCAAAGACCTGTTGGAGAGTGGGTAATGGTTTTCCTTTAGGCCTAGAGGTTGAACCCTTTGGATGTTCATTGGAATTTGGATAAAATGCGTCTTTCATGGTAAGCGAGGTAGTAGTTGGCTTCTGCTGGGTGCTGCAACTTTGAGTTTTGCTTTGCGTTGAATTGGGAGGGGAAAATGCTTCTTTCATGGTGATTTTGGAGCCACCCATAGTGATGGAAATTAGAGAGGAGACACACAAAGAAAAACCTAGCTAATCTTAAGCTTGGTAAAGTGGGCAATGAGAACAAGCAAAAGGGGCTGAGCTCATTTATAGCCAAGTTCATTGATTCTAAATTTTGTGAATTTACCTTAATTTCAATTCCATTTCAAACAATTATTTCATTAACCAATATTTTTATGACATTAACTCAAAAATAAATAAGTAAATTTTTTATTAAAAATTATGTTAAAAATACATTTTAAATTATTATGCACTAACAACAATAAAACTTTATTCTATTACACGAAGCTGACAATATCATTAAATTCAACTAAAGATAAAATTTCTAAAAATGTTATTAATAAAAAAAATATCTTTAAATAACTTTTTTTAGGATTTTTTTCGTCTCTTTTTAACCTTTTTAACTAAACTAAAAAGCATGTCCTTCACTCTTTTCACTAATTTATCTAAAATCTTTTATAGATGCACATAGTTAAATTACCTTAAAGAATTTTAATAGGTGTTATTTTGACATTTTTTATTTATCTTAATATTTTTTTATCATTCTTTTTTTTTTTCATGCTGCCCTTTCTAGACTTAACATTTATTATTATACATGATAGTTGGTTATTTTGCATAATAATAAAAAAAATTAATTTAATAGATACTTTACGATTATAAATAATTTTATTATTTTTTAATTCAATCATCCAACTTATATTCTATGAATAATCATTATTAATCTTCTCATAACTCACTAAAATTAATTTCAAGTAATTATTTTTAAGTTGTGAGAATATCAAAAAAGATATATAAAAAATAGAACATAATAATGTAAAACAAGTGTATATTATTTCTCTAAACAGTTCTATTTTATAAATACTTCAATCATTGTTAAATGTGATTTTTTTGTTTTATATTTATCAATCTTTCTATCTCATTACATTATCTATTGTTTTATTCATTCTCTAGACATGTATTTCGCCTTCATTCTTATTTATTTTGTTTTGAAAAATTGTATAAACTAAAGAAACTAATTTTTTTTAAAAGGTTTCTAATTTGTTTTTTATTCTAAAATTAATCAAATAGTATAAGTATTTTATATGAAAAGAATATTAATAGAAGAAACAATATTATTTAAATCATGTAAATAGAAATAATAAATAATAATACCTTTAGTGACTGAAGAAACAATTTCTTCGTAAAAAATGTACAGAAAGAGCTCTCCAAAGAGCAATTGCACTCATTCAATTCTAGGGAAAGTGTAGAAAAGGAATGAAGTTTGCATGTGGCGTGCACTTGGTGTCATCGAAGTGAAAGTGCCAAATTTCCAACCATGGGGCGCGTGATAATCACGCTCCCAATCGTTAATGTTGTGATGATGGAAGTTGGCAACGGCGATTGCAGGAGGAAGACCCCACATGAGGGGACAAGCAGTGCCGACCATGCGTGCATATCAGTGAACGTTGATTTGTTTGTTTGCCCCTAATTTTTGACCACCACTTCTTTTGCTTCATTACTTTTCCTTATCCCCACAGCTGCAGATCCTATCAAGACATTTTCTTCAGACAAATCAATGTTTTAATATGCAAAAGAATATTAAAGGACAAAATAATCATTCTTACTTCTGCATCTTTATTATTTTATATATTTTTTATAATTACATCAATATTCCTTTCTTTTTTCTACAAACACCAACACTTTCATCTTCTGCTTTTTACTTCATTTTCCAGCTGTTGCAGTTTCACACAGATTAGTAATAATTGTATTGTGACAATATATTTCATTGGTTTGCCTATTTTCCTTCATGTAACACAGAATATAAGTATGTCATATTCACTGGCTAAGAATGGTTTTGTCAATTCCTTTTCTCTCTTACTTCTTAGTTCTCTATAACTTTAAGAAGTATGATAATATTGCAATTGACGTGGTTCCTATTACAACGCAAATAAAGAACTCACACAAACTCCACTACAATATCATGCTAATTAATTACTCTCATATTCTCTTCCTTTTATTCTTCATTTTTCATTTGTTATGGAGGGCATGCAGTGTTCCAATAAATTATAAAGCTCGCTTCCACAGGATGAAACTATGGAACAGAGAAGTATGTGAAAGGAGTTATTGGGGTGTGAGATGAAAGAGAGGAAACCTATGTATCTTCATCTTTTACGAGGCATGCTAACCATCAACATTTAAACGTCAATTCACGTTTTTGTTATTAAAAATGTTTGTGGAAGTCTCATTCATCGTCACGGGTTTATGAAATAGCTGCCAAGACCATGTTTTTTTAAAACCCGTCACCTTCTAATACTGAGACATTTGCTAGTGATGAAATATAACTTCTCAACGTTAGACCAGATAGATCAGTGAACAAATTGCATATGCCAACCATAGTTTTTTTTTTTTTTTTAATAAGGATTGGCTTTAATTTTCTCATGTGTTATGTCTTTGTGCTCTTAAACTTTCTTAAATTTGGGCTAGTTTGTGTTATTTACATGATTTTTTTTAAAAGAAAAAAAAATTCTGTGGGTAGAATTGGTTACTGAATCTGAGTTGTACATATTGATTAAAAAAGTGAACAGATCTTTTCTATGCATATGGACTCTATGGACATTGTATTTCTGAACTGAATTAGGGAGGTAATAAACACTGGAAGAAAAACACGATGTATAAAAGTCAATTATGAATTATGTGTTGGCTTCTTTCGCTTTGGTTGAAAATTGATGTACATAAATTAGATTTGTGTATACATACAGATGTATAGAAGAATTGAGTGTTTTCTCAACTGATAATGATAAGTTATATGCCTCTCTAGAATTTTTTATATTCTTGCTTTATAGGTAGTCCTGTGCTTTCCAAAAAATAAGATTCTCTATTAACTATATCATC